AATTCAGCCACCACCATACCCACCACCACCCAACCTAAACCCTAGAACTGCACCCACATATGAAACCACCGCGACAGAGGAAGGAGAGAGAGGCCGGAACCGCGACGGAGGTAGGAGAGAGAGAGAGAGGCCGGAATCGCGTGAAGGAGACTAGGGGAGAGAGGCTGGAATCGGGATGGACAAAGGGAGGAACGACCAAAATTTGGACGGGGATGGGGAGAGGGACTGGGATCGGGACGGGGGAACAGGTTTTCGAGGGTGGTTAGTGGTTTCAGGGTGAGGGGACCACGAGTCGGCGATTTAGGGGAGGGAGAGGGTGGACAGATCGAGTTGTTGGTGGCCGACGGCGCTGACGCTGGAGTTGGGGGCTGTTGATTTCGCGACGGAGGTTGGTGCTGTGACTGCTGTCGTGAGGGAAGGAGACGGTGGTTATGTGATGGAGGGAGGCGGGGTGTTTAGGGGAGGGGGTTCAAGGCACCGCCGGCGCCAGAGGGTCTGGGTGACCGGTGCTATGGGATGAGGTGTCAGGGGTGGCGGGGAAGGCTTGGGCTAGTGGTGGTTTTTAATTTTTTTTTTTTTAGTTTTTCTTAAAAAACATTTAACTTTTTTTAAAATTTAATTTATTTTTATTTTATTTTTTTGACAAATAACATGGAGAAACGTGTCAAGTAACTTGTTATAACAGGTTACATGACCGGTTGGGACCATTTATAGCGGAGTGGGTATAAAAGTGAGATTATTTAAAAATAATCCATATAGGTGGGATTATTTTCAGCGGATGGCTAAAAGGTCGGATTATTGCGGGCAATTTTTCCTTTTAATTTTTCATCAAAGTTGTAAACGTATCTTACTATACTTTGAATGACCATTTACATACACCACAGTTATTGTAAGAAATTAATGCATGCAATATGAGATATAGAAAATATGATAACATATTAACAAATATACAATGAGGAATGCATCTAACAATTTCCTATATATACAATAAATATCCATTAACTTATGACTCACACATGCACATGAATATAAGACTCAAAATGAAGCAAGACACTGTACAATGTGGATTTAAAAATCCATATTTCATTGGACTTCTGATCCATAATAAACTTTTGATCATTATCATTATGTCGACAATAAAATAGACATATATTTCAGATCCCTTATTCACTAGTCCATTATATCATGCATATGCATATTATTCATCGGTTCCATTGTATACCGGTATCATAAAATTCCTATAACGTATATTTCGCATGCTATTTTACTATGATATCTGAATGCATTTCTCATTGGTACCATCATAACTTTTCTTACATGATAGGCCATCTTATATAATAATTCAGATATCTATACCACATATTAAGGGTATTTCTCACACTATGGTATTAATATACTATTATTTTACTTTAAAATAGCAACTGCACTATCTTGTCGTATATCGCATATTTATATTGTTGGAACCGATCATACAAACTACACTTCAGGTGCAGTGATTTAAAGTAAATTGGCAAGATCTATCTTAATGTATGCACATAATATCATTATCACCATAATCAAAATATATCTCTCTATTCCTCTAGATGGGTCATAACGGTGTACAAATCAAATCATAATGTGCAACATATGTTGATACAAAAGTTGGCATGTAACTTTACAAAGTATCATTAGAGAGATCAACTATTTATAATATTATAATTTTGCCAACTTACTTCAATTCTTCCCCCTAAGTTGGTAAAATATCTCAAATGTTGAGACAATTCTTCACCAACTTAAAATATAATTTCATGTGCATATAAAATTATATTTCGTAGGATAATCATATATATTCAACAAAGTTCTATCTCTTCTGGAGAATAATGAAATTTTGTTCTCTTCTAGAGATCAATATTAATAGGGGGTAATAAATTGTGCAGTTGCTAATTTCTTATTCAATTCCTTATGTGCTGACATACAATAGACCCAATCAACAGAATTGTTATACAAATATAAACTTTCTTGTAATTTCACTAGGTGGTGATCTTCGGGATCACTAGAAACATTGATAGTAATACTAGTTACTTAAAATTTTCACATATAACTTGTACGTGGTGAGCTTCTGGTCACCTAATATTTGTCAACATATAAATTATTCTAGTGAACTTCTGGTCACCAATTATTCAGAAAAATCAATATATTATCTCTTGAACATTTCTTTTTACACAAACTATTAAAAATCACAATCTAAATATAGCTTAATTTCAATGTTATGTCTTTCCATTAAATTTATTTCATATATTTAACATGAGAGAGCGTCAATACATTATTTCTTTCATATCAAATGAAACTTCAGGTTTTCATAACGGGAATTTATTAAACCCCGGATGGACTAATTTTTTTATTATCACATCCGATAATCACTTTTCCTTTAGTAAGTATTTAAAATGTGGTCAGTTTTATAAAACTGGTGATCACCTTATTAAAGATACTTTATGCATGGTCGTGATATAAATACACCAATGAGTTTCTTTCTACAACTGGCAAGACAATTAACTAATACGCATACTCCGCTAGAGCATTGATTGTAATCTTGATACATGCTAATTTTTGTTGGACAACATTTTATACTCTTATGGAGTACTTTATATAATCATAACCCTCTTTAATGTAATAGAAATGATATCTTTAGGAGATCCATAAAAAATGTGTCACTTACTCATATTTGTCATTGTCAATTATTGCTCATTTCCTCTTCCAAGGATTCTTATCGTTGTAACCCTTTGGATTACCACACTTTAGGTGTGCTAGTTTCAATAGCAATTGATCTTGTCCTTCTAGGACATCAGCTTATATATACATTTATAGCTAGTATATAGGTAATGACATTTATCCATATCCATCTTTAGGATGATATCATTCTAAATATTTGATTATCATGTGGCCACCTCTATTAAGAAATAAATCATAGATATTTAGGCTAGTGTATGTACCAAACTGACCATCAACATATTTAATTATTCATGTGCAAGGATAACATAAAAGCAATGGAATAAATAATAATGAAATATACGAAAACATAAAAATGCCCAGAAACATAAAATTGTGTAAAAACAAATGTCACATAAAGCATAAAGTCTTAGTACTACGATAAAATCCTAAAATAAAATAAATGCAAGCTAATTAATAGAGTTTATTCGCCAATGAATCATAATTTATTCAATTGTTTTCTTCAGGATTAGGAAAGAAATCAACCATTTCCAGGTGAGTTGAATCACCGTGATTAAAATCACCTTTGCCATCTTCGTACACCAAATTTGTTTTCACTTTCTTTCTTTCCTTTTTGTTTGATTGATTGTTGATAAAGGTCTACTAGATGTTTTGGTGTGCGACACACACGTGACCAATGACCTTTTCCTCCACAATGGAGGCATATATTTTCATTTTTATCCTTCTCATTCTTATTTCCATTTTTATTGTCCCACTTATGGTGAGAGTATGAGTTCCTAAAATGACCACCTGGACCACGGCCATATCCTCGTCCGCGGCCGCGACCACGACCTTAACCACGACTGCTGGCGTGATCTCTAGCCTTTTGCTCTTTCCCACTATGGGATCTCGCATTCGCTTCAGGGAATGGAGTAGAGCCAGTTGGGCGTGATTCATGATTTTTCATTAATAGTTCATTATTATGCTCATCCACAAGGAGACAAGATATCAATTCAAAATATTTTGTAAAACCCTTTTCACTGTATTGTGTCTGCAAGACAACATTATTTGCATTAAAAGTAGAGTATGTTTTTTCTAACATTTCTGCATCCGTGATTTTCTCTCCACATAATTTCAATTGTGACGTAATTCTAAACATGGTTGAGTTGTATTCACTCATAGACTTAAAGTCTTGTAATCTTAAATGTAACCAATCATAAAGAGCTTTTGGTAATATCACTTTTTTCTGGTGGTCATACCTTTCCTTTAGATTACTCCAAAGGATTTGTGGTTCTTTAACAGTCAAGCACTCAGCCTTAAGGCCTTCATGAAGGTGATGGCGAAAGAATATCATGGCTTTAGCTTTGTCTTGGCTTGTTGTATTATTTTCTTTGATAGTGTTACCAAGTCCTTTTGCATCTAAATGTATTTCAGCATCTAACACCCAAGACAGATAGTTATTTCCAGTAATATCAAGAGCAACAAATTCGAGTTTTGCAAGGTTTGACATGATTTACTAATATATAAAACAATATTATAAATTAGGAGGACATTAAAAAAAAATACTTGCATTGTACCATAATGATTATATATGAAATTTTGAGAATATACATGTCAGATTGATCAAACCCAACAAATAGAATACTATTGAAATAGATATAAAATTTATAATACTAGTACTAATCATATAGTGTGAAAATACGATCATGAATATGCAATTTACACTTATCTTAAAGGATTATTGTACTGTAAACATGCTAGTCATGCTAAACGTAAACCATGTATGATATCACACAAGATAATTATTAAAGTAATGTAGTAGGTAAAGTGGGTTCTAAAATTAGAGCTCTTTCCCAAATTAAAGTCAAGAAGAACCGCAATTCCCAAATTGCAGCCAAAGTTTTAAGAATTCCCATTCTACCGTCCACGTAAGCACTGGTTAAAAAACCGGTTTTTTTTTTTTCCGGTCCAGGGTAAACCGCTACTTGAAGTAGCGGTTTCTTTGCAATAAACCGCCACTTCAAGTAGCGGTTTCTTAGTTTAAAACCGCTACTTGAAGTAGCGGTTTGTTTACAAAAAACCGCTATTTAATGTAGCGGTTTATTTTGGAAAACCGCTACTTCAAGTAGCGGTTTACTTTGAAAAACCGCTACTTGAAGTAGCGGTTTACCCTGGACTGGTTTTTTTTTCAAACTTGCATAATCACTCAAAAAAAAAACCTGCAAGTTGTGTACCTGTAAAACATGAGATATATAGCATATTTTCAACACAACCACCATAAATAACAAGTTTATGAAGATCTAAGGAAGTCGAAATTGCAAAGTCGAATATTTTTCAATTGATTAAATATAACAAAATCCAATTCTAAGCATTTACAAAAAAATTAGTTTAGTTCCAAAATATACACTTAGCTCGGGCGTTGCTTCTTCCCATGAGGTGACGATGAAGATGATGCAGCTGTCTCCTCTGGAATGTCATCCAGGCCAACTCCAACCCCAGACGTAGTGTTGCTACGCCGTCGGTTTCTCTGATACTGGCGATGCACTAGTGGAGGAGATGTCATGATAGTATGCTGAGAAGGAGTCGGTGGACGGAAGGCACGTGCTGAATGGCCTCCACGATGAGGTGGTGGTCTGATCGGCATAGTGTGCACAGTAGAAGATGAAGACGTGGACGGTCGAGGCTGCTGAATAAGGTGTGACTGCCCCACCCTAGACAAGGTTTGGCCACAAAATGATGTAAAACCCTGCATCGTCTGTATGGCAAATGGTATAGCCGTCTCTGGTGGCAAGTGGGAGATGGTCTCAGTAGCTCCCGATAGCTGGACGTGCAAATCAGCAAATGCATGTGCCTACATTTAAGTGTAGTTTTAATGTTAGTAAAATGAAATCAAAAACGTAAGAACTAGATTGAAATGAAGTGAAGTTCATACAAGCAGGAGGTCAGAGGTAGCTGGCTGGTAATGACTCGGGGGGCGCTCCTGCGAAGGTGGAGTAATGACCAGTCTCGTGATGCGACGGTACCAAGCCATGTACTCTGTCATGGCCGGGGAAGAAGTCCCAGTGAACGGGTATCCCTGGACGACTAATGCCTCTCGTCGACTCCACTCGTGTACATGGTCCGAATGCCGAATCTCCCAATTACGCTGTCCCCTTCGATCCTTCCTGTGTAGAGCAACGTCCGTGTCTACATCCTGTGGGATCGGCTGGTCTAACCCGAACTGACGAAGGACTCGGTCTGGGAGGTGGAACTCAACGACGTCAAAGCATATCAGAGGTGCCCGTGAACGCCAAATGTGCATGTCTGAGCGACAAATCTCCGGAAGTCGATCCATCACCGCCTCAGTATATGGCTGCCAAATCATCTAATTCCCAAAACAAGTATGTCAACATGTATATGACTAACATAATGGAAGAAATACAATGCACAAAAAAAAAGAAACACCGATTGTACCTGGTCCTCGCGCTGATGGTCAAACGCATCTCTGTAGTATGGTAGTCCAGAAGCAGTATGCGCACACGATAGATGGACACGTAACCACCTGTAAAGACATGTTAATAATAATTCTTGAAAGATAGAATTGTAAGAACATGAACTTGAAGCAAACATTGTACCTGCACGCCAAAGGGTCAACACCTCGCTGATGCTGAGTCCCCAAAATGTCATCCTCATCCTCAGCCTCAGGGTCCTCCTGTGGCGGATCTCGAGGCCTCCTAATGTATGGTCGGCCAATAGTAATATGCTCCCACGACCACAACTGTAGTAGGATGAGCGGGCCTCCAATCTGTCTTGAATCTCGCTGACATGCTCGACATAGCTGCCGATACAAAAAACGTCGCACTCCCCCAGCTGTAGATCGAAGCTGTCTCCCAGTCTCGAAGGAACGGCAAGTAGTAGAGTGACACAGCATCCCATGTTGCACCATTGTCTTGATTTTCAATGAAGGATCAACGCGAATGACATCTAGAAGAGCATTGCAAACGAACTCGGAAGTCAGTAGCTTATGATCTCCCGAGTCGATGTCACCAACACAGTTACTTGCATGAGGGCCGTTGTACCTCACAATTTTAAACGTAGAGAGTGTTGGATCTTTCACTCCTCTAAGCCTCCACGAACAACTACATTGTTCTTTCCTCTTGCACTCAACAACATATTTCTCTGGCTCTGCCTCCACAACTCGAATTGTTTGATTTCTAGCTATGGAGTAAGATTTCACAGCATCTTTCAGTTGTTGCAATGAGTCAAACTGCTGACCAACCTCAAATTCTCCCCCATTGTTATATGTCTCATTTCCTAACCAAGACATCCATGAGTTATTCAAACGAGGATCAACTTGCGCCACTTCATTGAAGTCTGAAGTGGGGGCGCTTCCTTTAATTGCCTTATTACGAGCTTCAATTACCTCTTCATCATCATCTTCATCAGTGTCATTCATCTCTGCATCGCCAAATACATCAACATTGTTTGGGTCAAGAGAATCAAGAATGCCTTGTGGTTGTGTGCTTGTCGAGGTTCCAACATTAGGCGATGAGGCCGGAGACCTAAACTGTGAGAGATGGTCATTGACATAATGTGGATCAACAAGCATTCTTGTGAATGACCCTATGCCCACACTTTGAACACCAGTGGAAAACGGTTGATCCACACTACCAAAAAAATCCATCCCCGGAAAGGAACCAGTGTTAGTTTGCACAACTGGCTCCTTTGGAACTTGTTCAATGAACAATTGCATTGCAACAGAAGAACTCTGAGTCACAGCAATCCACATAGCTCTAACAGCGTTGTCGTCATTTAACGGAATTGCAACATATGCCCCAGCCATAGGATAACGCATAACCACCTTCAACTCCACACCTCTAGGATCAACACTCAATTCTTCATATAGCTTGTTCAGAACTTGTGAATATGTCATCGCAGAATGTACAAACACAAATTTTTGATTCCCACCCCTATACGTTATATCGCTATCTTTGTGGACAATTTCTCCACCCCAATAGCAATATAGAGGGTAGTTCGGAACCTCCATGTTTCATTCTAGAAAAGACCATTATTAATCAAAGATATTAGATTGCAAAAATTCATTAACAGTGTGGCAATGTCCTAACATCAAGCAATCAAACTACACAATTATAGCAACCTAAACTGAGCTATGAAGGTCTTAATACCTCTTGAAGCTCAACATGGGCATAAGTCATGACTACATGTACTTTGAGCTCATGTACTTTGTGTATAGAAGCTCTATTTTCACTTTCAAAATCAGCAATTATAGCAACCTAAACTGAGTAATGTGATCGAAACCATTAATAATTCTACAAGGGTTATATGTAAGGTAAGTAAATCAACAACAACAACCAAAACCAACCACAAACATACATACAATTCTGAAACTCAATAACAACAACAATAAACAAGAACACTAACAACAACAACACAACCAAAACCGAAACTCAATAACAACAACAATAAACAAGAACACTAACAACAACAACACAACCAAAACCAACAACAACAACACATACATACAATTCTGAAACTCAATAACAACAACAAACTCAATAACAACAACAAACCCAATAACTGAATACAAAAAATAATTAGGGCACTTACCACAAACAAGAAGATCAGCACGTTTCTTCTGAAATTAGCGAAGCCGACCACTAAAGTCGAACCCTCGGCGTCAACAGCGGCGGCCTTCGTTGCTGAGGAATGCTCCGGCGGCGTCGGTGGATTCCTTGGCTGCGCCGGCTTCCGTTGAAGGAGGTGTGATTTTGGTGGAAGGCGTGGATGGGATTTTGGTGAGAAGACGAAAATGAAAGAGGAAAGTGAAATCGGGAAATTATACCTGCTAGAAAACCGCTACTTGAAGTAGCGGTTTATTAAACAAAAACCGCTACTTGAAGTAGCGGTTTATTAAAAAGAAACCGCTACCTGAAGTAGCGGTTTATTAGTAAAAACCGCTACTTCAGGTAGCGGTTTTGCTGTAGACCGGATTTAAAATTTCTTCCCCCTGAACCGGTGACGTGGACGGTACTTTGGGAATTCTTAAAACTTTGGCTGCAATTTGGGAATTGCGGTTCTTCTTGACTTTAATTTGGGAAAGAGCTCCTAAAATTATGTGAAATATATACATAAAATCATCTAGGAAAAATGGAAATTAAAAATCCAACCTTTGCGCGATTTGACATTAAAAATCCAACCTTTATACCCCAACTTCATCTAAAGATCCATTACCTGTTGATGACTGATTTTTATAGGTTATATGCCACGTGTCAGCTAATAATAGGTCAATTATCTTTTTAATTATTAAAAAACAAAAAAAAATTAAAAGAAAAAGAAAAAAAAATAGATACCCTTTTCCACCACCACCACCACCTTCCCTCCCCTGCGTGCCCACCGCCCATCGGAACCCAATGCGTGCGCCACCAACAAAAACGCACAGCCTACACACGAACCCAACGCACACCACCACCACCTTCCCCTGCCACCAACATACACGCCCAGCCACCAATTCCGACGCCATTTTAGGTTGAATACATGATTGATTTCATCAAAATCAATCTTAGTAGTCTTCTTTTTAATTATTAAAAAACAAAAAAAAAATTAAAAGAAAAAAAAAATAGATACCCTTTTCCACCCAACCCATGAAACCAAACTAGCACGAAAATACATACCCGCCCCCACAAACAACCTTTGAGGGCTTTGAAACCGATCACCCAAGAAAACCGACCACCCAAGAACCAAAATCAAAATCGGTGGTACATAGAGGAGAGGGAAAATCACTAGAGGTGTATTTTGGGATCGAGGTTGGGTTTCGGAGCAGCAGGAGGGTGGCGCCGCGGGTTTTGTGGTGGGTTGTTGGGGGTTGTTTCCGTTTTGTGGTGGGTTGTGGGGGTTGTTTCCGATTTTGTGGTTGGTTGTTGTGGTGGCGGAGTTGGTGGATTGGTGGGTTGTTTTTGTTTATTAGGAGAGAGGAGAGAGAAAGAGGAGTGAGAAGGGAAATTAAGAGAATTAAAAAAAAAAATTAACCTGTTTAACAGGTTAAAGGTCAAACGGATCTTTTGGAGAAGGTGAGGTATAAAGGTTGGATTGTTTTGAGATTAACGAAAGGTTGGATTTTTTTTGTCAGACCGCGCAAAGGTTGGATTTTTAATTTCCATTTTTTCAATCATCTAAAGCAACTGAATACAATTCGAAAAAGCCCTTCACATATATAATAATAAATTACGACATGACACAAAATTATAGTCGGTTATAGTATTTACAAAGTCTAATACGAATTATTGATAGTAATTAACATCTAGAATATTCATGCTAATTTATAATCAATCGAGATAACATAATACAGTTATATGCAAACCTTTTATTGCTATTAAGATCTATTTTAATTGATTGCGATAAAAAAAAATGATCAAATATAAACAACATGATCTACTTCCTCTGTTAATGGTTATTTGCAACAAAGGGGTATTATTTGTGAGATATAAAATATTCCTTTGTTGCAAATAACCATTAACGGAGGAAGTAATAAAAATTGAAGGCGGTGATTATATATTCCTAAACAAAATCATGCTTATACATAATTTGTTAAAACGAAATTATAAAATCAAATGATGAATAATAGAATTAGTAGTGTGCACACAAGTCAATAAAGCAATGAAATTATATACTTTGCAGAAGCCATTCTCGTTGTCAAACAATCCTAATTCCAAATTAAATGTATAAGCATAATAAATATTATTAAAGTATAAAAAGGTATAGCAGAACATACTAGTTTGGTAGTAACTAAAACAAAGTTAATGAACAATTCAAAACAGATTCATATAAAAGATTATTTGCAAATCAGAATGCGAAAAACTGCATAATATTGTTGCTACGACTAATATGAATGAATTATGTGGTAATTGTATAATAGTTACGTTATATTAAACATACCTGATTAACAGATTTCAGAGTAGGATAACTTAATTCAACTATGTAGAGCTTTGGTGCTGATAACGTGTTATAAAATTAAAGAGAAAAAGGAGAAAGTAGGGAGAGAATAGATCAGTCTCTTTTATTCCATAGAATGGAGATATATATATACATACAATATAACTAGCACAAATTTTTGTATATGGCTGGCCACACGGTGTGGCCAGCCACAATTTTATTAATTTTTTTTAAAAAAATACCACAACTCTTATCTCTCTTCTTTTCTTATTTTCTTCTCCAAGCCAAACCACACATCACCAACAACCATATTTCTACTCCACCCATTTTCTCTCTCCTCTTTTCTTAGCTTCTTCTTCAAGCCAAACCACACATCACCAACAAACCATATCTCTACTCCACCCATTTTCTCTCTCCTCTTTTCTTAGCTTCTTCTTCAAGCCAAACCACACATCACCAACAACCATATCTCTACTCCACCCATTTTCTCTCTCCTCTTTGCCAAATTGCTGTAATTAAAGCCCGAAATTGTAGAAATTGGGTGTTAAATTGCTGTGAAAATTTGTGATTAATAATCCTTAAGATCATCAACAACATTTGAAGTAGTGAAATCGATGAGAACCAAAGAAATGTGAGCTCGTTTTCTTCGTGGAATCTTAGATCGAACATTGTACGTCAAAAATTGTAGGGTGTTACTAGTTTGGTCAGGGGTACTTGTAAGGTGTTACTGGTTTGGTCAGGGGTTACATGTAGGGTGTTACTGGTTTGGTAAGGGTGTTACTGGTTTGGTCAGGGGTTACTTGTAGGGTGTTACTAGTTTGGTAAGGGTGTTACTAGTTTGGTGAGGGTGTTACTGGTTTGGTCAGGGGTTACTTGTAGGGTGTTACTGGTTTTGGTCAAGGGTTACTTGTAGGGTGTTACTAGTTTTGCTCAAGGGTTACTTGTAGGGTGTTACTGGTTTGGTTAGGGATTACTTTTTGGGTGTTACTAGTTTTGCTCAAGGTTTACTTGTAGGTTGTTACTGATTTGCGGTATGGGGCTTACAAGCGACCCTTGAATAAGTAATTCATACAAGTAACCTTGAAGTGACTCATATAAGTAACCCCTGAATAAGTAACTCATACAAGTAACCCTTGAATAAGTAATTCATACAAGTAATCATTGAATTAACCCATACAAGTAACCCCTTAAAAAAAATACAAGTAACCCCTTTTAAAAAAATACAAGTAAATCTTGAAAAAAAAAATACAAGTAACCCCTGAAAAAAAAATACAAGTAACTCTTGAAAAAAAAATACAAATAGCCCGTGAATAAGTAATCCATACAAGTAACCCCTGAAAAAAAAATACAAGTAACCCCTGAATAAGTAATCCATACAAGTAACCCTTGAAAAAAAAATACAAGTAACTCCTGAATAAGTAATCCATACAAGTAACCCCTGAAAAAAAAAAATACAAGTAACCCGTGAATAAGTGATCCATACAAGTAACCCCTGGAAAAAAAAATACAAGTAACCTCTGAAAAAAAAATACAAGTAACCCCTGAAAAATAAAAATACAAATAACCCCTGAAAAAAAAAATACAAGTAACCCCTGAAAAATAAAAATACAAGTAACCCCTAAATAAGTAATCCATACAAGTAACCCCAGAAAAAAAAAATACAATTAACCCCTGAAAAAAAAATACAAGTAACCCCTAAAAAACAAGTAACCCTGACAAAACCAGTAACCCCGTTATGCGAGTGAATAATAACCCCGTTATATGTGCGTAATCCGTTATTTTTACTGACTTAGCAGTAGGCCACACGGTGTGGCCTGCTGCACCAAAAAAGCTCTGTATAACTAGGGTTTGCTTAGATAACAATAAACCCTAGTTTTATAACATTCCGAAATGATAAAGGAGGATAATGGATATCCATACAATATTTCATAAAAATTAGCTTTATTTTGCACTAATTTCGTTTAATATCTCAAAATTCCAAAAAAAAAATATCACTTAGTCTCTTTTATTTCACTTAAATTAAGGAGTTATCATCTTTTAGTCCTTGATAAGCAAGAAGGGTTATCCAAAAAATTGCTACTTCTAGCTCAAGGTATTATCTTTATTGCTTTCTTAATTTCATTAATTATTATTATTACTAGTTTAGTTCCCCTGCGATGCACGGTCTTAAACAAATATATTATGCAATTTTTTTATAATACGGAGAAAGAAAGTTTTGTACTTCGTTAATTTTTTGTGTACATGATAAGTAATTTCTAATATAACATACTATTTGTAAAATATTAAAAAAATAAATTTCACAATGAACTTTGAACATTGAAATATTAACATACTAATAAAAAAAGATATTGGTGGGGACAAAGGATAAATCATATAAAATGTTCACTGTATTAGATTAAAAAAAAAGAAAAAATAAAAAAAAAATTAATGACATCCAATGTTTTGTTTTAGTATTAGTAAATAAATGCTAACTAAGGGCTTGTTTGACATCATTTTTGGTTTTCTGTTTACTGTTTTTTGAAAATAAAAAACCAAATACAGGAAACAAGAAAAAGATGTATTTACTTTTCTGTTGTCATTTTTCAAAATCATCATGATTTTAATAAGTTTATATAATTTTTTATTCATTGTGGGACATATATCATATACTTAAAAAAAAAAAAAAAAACCACATCAATGCCAAACGAATCCTAATGTGTTTGTTTCCATGCTATGTTACCAATAGGGATGATGACGATATTAGGTGCTAAATTAGCCCTAAATCTTTCATTACTCCACATTAGAAAGCTAAGCCTATTGGTGAGGTGATAGGTTATAAAGGGGGGGGGGGGGTTAATTGCATTTTGCATGACATCTCTTTCTAATGCATTTTAAATATAAAAGGTTAACATATTCATGTGTTTGTCTAAGATATATTTTTAAGAATAATTTCCTTCTTAAAGTGAGCTTACAGATTTAAGGGATTAAGAGTTTATGTAAAGGATGTTCAAGAGTGAAGAGTTACTTACCACGTCCCAAAGATGGCCTATAAAACAACCCTTAAGTCCAAAAGAAGTTCTATTTCTTTAGCTCAAGTGATAGAACTTTTCAAGAGCTTTCCAACAATATCTCACAATAATTTTTTTTTTCTATGATTTTTAATGATTTTTTTAGTTTAAGCTATCAAAAAGATTAAATAGGCACATTTTTCTCTTAATTTGTTTTTTTTAAATAAATAAATTGTATTAATTTATTTCCAAGAAGCTAATGGTGTCGTGGAATCTATATTATATTACACTATATCACGTATTTATATTTATAGAACTTTAATTATTAAGAGTTTTAAGTAACTTTAATTTTATCTAGAGATGATTTTAGAAATAAGAATTATTCACAATCTTTAATTATAAAGAAATGTTTTAAAATCTTTAATTTTATTTTAAGAAGACTTCAGAAATAAGAGTTTTAACAAACTTTAAAATCTTTATAATTTTGTGAACCTTCTTATTTCAAACCCTTTCGCAACACAAGAATGAATCGTAACTTAGCTTATTTGTTGTAATAATTAATGATAGTTAATATAAGTTATGGTCATATTTCCAAACATGAGGTTAAGATTAATTATTTAGTTATTTAAGGTTGTAACAATTATCCATCTCCATAAAAATAAGCTTATATCCCATTATAATTACCCGATGGATTAATTGACAGCCGCATATGATTAATAATTTATTGTTCCCTTTTATTTAGAAATAAGGCCTTGATAGGTGTCGTGTTTTATTTGGTCAATTCCATTAAGCCTAAACACATAACCTTTAAAACCTTACAAAAAATTACCCTTGAGTGATAATTTTAACCCAAAGTGAGATTATAAAGTGAACCCTTACAGTTTCACTCCAAAAAATACCTTGACCCACTAAAAGTCGTCAATTGTGACGCATTTGTTGAATTTTCTTATTCAAAAGACATTTTTGATAATCACTAATCGGGGTGATTTTCCTCAACCAAGGTGGTTCATCTAACTTTTATGAATGAATCCGTCAAAGATCACTAAAATCCCACTTAGAAAAATGACGTTTATGTCAACAACCCAAATTAAAAAAACCCAATGGAATTAGTTATTTAAAACATGGCGTCTGTCCAAACTACGAATGTTTTGATCCGTGAGTGTATTGAAAATCTCACTATGATCGGTACGTAGGGGTGTTCAAAAATACCCGACCCGACTGACTTGGTGTAAATTAGCCGAGTAGTTTTTACAAAAAATTTAATTTTGCAGGTCGGGTACCCAACCCGAGAAATTTGTGTGGTTGTCAGGTCGGGTCATGGGCCGATCTTTATAGCTGGCGGGTACTCGAAGACCCGTTAAGTAATTTTTAAGTTTTTTTATTTCTTCTGAGGGGGTGTTTGGTATGGAGTTAGTATAGGAAACGGAATGGAAATAAATTAGGAGGGGAAAAGGTAACAAAAAGTGTTACTCTTACTAGTTGTTTGGTACATCAAAGGAAACGGAAACAATTATCACCATTCCATTTCCTCTTGTTTGGTATAACAAACGGAAATGAAAAATAAGAATGAATAATATAATATTGTCTATGCTATATTTTTTTATGGTAAAAAAAAGATAAAAAAAAAAATAAAATAACCTGTATTGCATATATATATATATATATATATATATATATATATATATATATATATATATATAGCAAAGTTGACACTCATTAATTATCCAAACATTGACTAATAATAAAATAACCTATATTGCTCAAGTTGCATATGTTCAACAAAAAAACAAAGACATTGCTCAAGTTGCTACTTCTTCTTAAGAAGATCAATTGCATATTGTATTTTCATATTAAATGGTGCTTGATAGAAGATGCGAAGCTTATGTTCTTCCGCCATGAGAATAGTAGCAACCTCTAAAGCTTCGGATGGAGAAATGCCATCTAACTTCATCACCTCGTCCAATACCTTGTTCACCTTTTCATCCATTCTTTGCTCCCTTTCTTCCGCTTTAGACCATGCACTAGCCATAGTCCCGAGATTAACATTGATATTTTCAAATATCTTCCCAAAATTGTTGGAACAATCATGGAGGGAGGCCACCAAATCATCATCATCATTCCTACACAAACTCTTCAAATTTACCTTGTTCTTTCCTTTCACCTTAGTCTCCTTCGCCTTTATAGAGGGTTTTCCGGATTGAGTAGTAGAATCACTTGCGGAAGAATGAATTGTAGAAGCCTTCACTTTTGCCATTTTTGAAGGAGTTATATGATCATCCTCTATCTTCATGGGGTGTTTTCCGGATTGACTTGTAGAAGAATAAGTGTCCGAATGAGTAGAATTCACATCATCTTCTTCATCACTCTCGACATTGAATGGTTTCTTATCAATCTCTTGACCCATTTCTTCTATAGCATCAACAAACGACTCACTTGCATCTCCGGTAGCTTTGTCTTTTGCGTATATCTCCGCAAGAGTTTCATAGTGAATGAATGGAACTCCAAACAACCCTTTAGCTTTCTTATGAGTCTGCCATATAAGAGAATGCAACAAGTCAAAACATGAAAATCAGAACTGAACCAGGCAACTGTTAATCACAGAAAATAAAACCACAAAAAATATAATAGAAACAATCATCAACAATAATCACCACAGTCCAAAGCAGACTGCAATACAACACACAAAGCACCAGCACCCCTTACCCCAAGAAACAGCCCCAGCAAAGAAAATTACATAAAAAGTCATTCTGCCCAAGCTTCTTTTGCACTTATAACCACTAGCTATTGTGTAGCCTTTTAGCATCATCAATCCATATATCACCACAAGAACCAGATTTCATAATATCTCTTATTCTCCACACTTGCTTCCAATTCCAGCTTGCATTCTTAGGACACTTGAATCTCTTCCAGGTTTTTTTTTTAATCCATGAATAATCTGCAGAAAATTTGACAGCACTTCCCCTAAAACAGACATATATCTAATTTTTAACCTCGTAAAAACCTGCACAAAAGACCAGCCATGCTTCATACATGGCAACACAAAGAAACCAGGTATAGATTTAAAGCAAAATGAGCATTTGTAGCAGTACATAATTCATATATAAACTGTCCAGCACCTACCCCTCTCCCCTATCACCTATTCCCCTCCCTGCCCCCTTCCATTACACACACTGCTTCTCTCCCTGTCCAGCAGCAGTTCATACCTTCACCTATTCATACCTTTACACACAACTGTCCAGCAGAGCAGCAGTTCTAAAGTGTAATTGAAAAAAATGAACAAAGAAGAATGAAATAGCAGTTCATACCTTCACCCATTCATCGTACACGACCTTGTCTACTTGCAACAATTTCTTCTCAGCATCCCATCCAAATCCCGAGGTGGATAGCATTTCTGCAAATGCACTATATTTCTCCGACCAATGCTTGATCCTCGACTCAATGTGGGGAACTGCTCTCAAGCCACAATTAGGAAGTACACCATTGATCATCTCTTCCAACTTATTCATGTAACCATTCTTAAACCCATTATCACACTTCCACTTCGGATCGCAACTCAACTCATGCAAATATCTTATTAGAACCGCATCTTCTTCATACGTCCAATACCTTTTATTTTTACCTCTTCCTCGATTGCTAGCCTCCATCCTAAACAAATTAGAAATAACATAAGGCAGATTAGAAATAACAGTAGGCAAATTAGAAATAAAAAGAACAGAAGGCAGATGACCATGTCTATAATATAATCGAAGGTAAAAAAAATCATACATTTTTTGCTATTGACCATGTCTACCTCTCGCCCTCCAATCATTAAACATATCTTGGGCTAATTTGTTTCTAAAATTGGTCCAATGATCCGAAGTAGCAACACTTGTAATAAATTCTAATATTGGTGTGGGATTGTAAAGTAATACTTCGTGTAATTTGAGAAGAGCCCTTAGACAAAGGTGAAATTGTCGGCTCACGGTTTCTCCACTTCTAAAGAAATATTGTCCAATAGACCTATTCTTCTTGTGGTGAGCCAACGTGTATAAAAACATGGCTACGATCTCTTGAAGTGACATGTTTTTTGTTCCACTCAAACCACCAATGTCTCTAAGCATCTCACAAATAATATTGAAAGTTCTTCTATTAACGCGAAGCTCACTCTTGCATTTCACATCACTCTCTTTATAAAGCCCTCTCAAAACTAACATTCGTAGCAACTTTTTGTTTCTTTTTCTTTCTTTCAATTGAACACCCTTTATTGTAACAACACACATCATATGCCACATCCAATACATCATCAAATTAATAATAACCATTGAAATAACTAGTTGTATTTGTTTTAGCTTTTTCTTCCTTGAGGAACGCATAAGTCGGGGCATTGTAGAAATCTTGAAAAACTAGTCCAAAAAATATACAATAGTATCAATATATTACCCATCAAAAACCATTAAAATACAAGAAACAAATACATCATCGATCAACATAATCTGATTTTTGGCCGGATGGAGCAATAACATACATGAGGTAATCGTCTGCGATAGAAAACTAGAAAATGATTTTATTTATTATATAATAAGCACGCAATTACAACATATAAGAGGTTGAATATATATAATAAGCACGCAATATCCTCTATCAATTAGATAGAAATAATTTGGTGTGTTAACATCAATCAATACCAATTAGACATTCGTTTAAGAATTTATAAATTAATCTACCCAAGCCAACCCCTGTCCCCCATATAATAAAGGAAAAAAAAAATCATAACCAATATCATTTAGTTCATACATACGAATTATACATTATTAATCAAGTAGATGGCTTGATGGTATGATGTTTAAATGAAGTTCAATAAAATTGGAGATTTAATAGTAGAAAAACTACTGCATTTGACTCTTTCCGAAAAACAAAAATAAAAAAACAAAAAAAATTGACAGCTATTATGAATATCCAAATACTGCACAAATCGGATGAAATCATTCGTCATCCCATTGTCGAATTACTCACTTGATACTGATACGTTTCCAGGCGTTCCAGGTAAAATATACTACCATCCTTAACTTCAAAACTCACCCAAAAACCACCATCACCATGACATTCACTTCCCCAATCAAAAACACCACCGATCCTCACCACCAGAAACCCCATCCACCTCTCATAAGTTCACCTCCAACCCTTGAACCCGATAAACAGCAAAACAACAGCAATCAACAAAGAATGTTCCACCAATCACGCAGATTAGCAAATAAAACATAGTAATTATATCAATATCTAGTTAATCAACAAAGAATGCTCCACCAATCACGCAGATTAGCAAATACAACATTGTAATTATATCTAAATCAGAGTCATGTATATTGTCGAGCGAGTATAGCAATAATCAACAATTATAGCAATAATAGCAATATATAATTATATACTATCAAATTCAGCAGAAAATCAACAAAAGATAAAAAAAAAATTCAATCGAACAAGCAAGTAAATAATTCAAACCAGAAACGGCAAAATTGATATTGCATGAACCCTAGAAATTGAACGAGAGAAATGAAGATAGCAAACCTGATATTTGCAGTAGAAAATTGAAAATTTAGGAGCAAGATCTGGAGAATTGCAGCTTTCCTTGTAGAATCGTCTAGCAAGATCTAGAGATTTGCAGTAGAAAATCGAGCGAGCGAAGAGGAGGGAGAAGAGTTTTCTGTATTTTTTGTGTTAAAGGAAGGAAAGAGAATTTGTTTCCTCACTCATTACGGCGGAAACAATTGGGTGGAAATGGTTACCACTTACTAACGGTTTGTGTTAATTTAGTCCGTAACCAAACACAATGTAACGGAAACACTAACATGATTCCGTTTCCACCCCTTTAAAAAACCTATACCAAACACCCCCTAAATATAATCAGAATGATTCAAGCAAAACAAAGAGAAATTACAAAATTATACAGAAAATGAACAAAATTTAGGAAAAATTCAATCAAAATTCAAGAAAATTCAAAATATAATAAACAAATCCATCCCCCAACAGATTTTCTATATAATCTAACCCCACAACCCTGAATTTTAAATCAAACAAAAACTAAATCGAAGTCAAGAGCGGTGGACTGTTGAAGAAGACTAAGAGTAAGAGCGTTGGAGAAGAATAGTATGAACAGCGGAACACGAGCAACTTTGAGAAACCGTGACTCGAGGGACCACGAACACAAACTGGTGGAGTGGTGGTGAGACACGTTGACCGAACTAGTGGTGACCGACCTGAGGAATGTGGTGGTCAGACGGAGTGAGGTGGTGAGGGTCTGAGGGAGAAAAGGGGGAAAAATTGGAACCTTAAGGTTTTGGTGAGGAAGGTGCCGCAGAAAGTGAAAGGGAAAATGGGAAAAGAGGGAAAAAAAATCTAGGGTTTTGGTATATATAAGTAAGGGAAATGGGCTGGGATTAGTGGTCTTACTAAACTTCGGTTTGGATTTTCGGTTTTCGATTTTTGAAAGCCCCAAATCGAATCCAAACCGAAAAAATTCGGTTTTGATATTTTGGAACTGATCCAAACCGAAAACCGAAAAAAACCAAATCGAATTGCTAATTCGGTTCGGTTTGGTTCGGTTTTCGGTTTTTATCCAGATTACTTTCACCCCTAACCGCTGACATCATTCATTTATCCATATTGTACACGTGTCAGCTTCTCCTTTAATTTTTTTTCCCACCAAAGCTTTTTTTTCTCTTTTACGTTTTTTTATGGAAAAATCTAAATATTGAATACAAAAAAATTTAATACAGAATACTATACATTAAACTCTTCACAATATATTTTTTTTGAACAGTTTCACAATTTTTTTTTATAAACCTTTTGACAATCATTTACCCAATGGAATATTAATTTATGTTTTTTTAATGGAGTATTGTTTTATATAGCTCTCTTTTTTCACTATATTCGTGCATTGCACGAGAGCTAACCTAGTTTTCAATTATGTTTCAGAATCTGTTATTTTTTCCCCTTAAATTTATAGTTGTTAATATTTATTTGTAGAAGGATACATCAAATATTTTATTTTAAATATTTTTTAAATTTTGAAATTCAAATTACTTTCTAGGAGCTTTTTAACATACTAATAAAAAAAATTGATGTACTGTAATAAGTAGGACATAACATTATGGCACAGTTTATGTTAAAAATTTGATTTACTACTCCCTCCGTTTTTAAATACTTCCTCCATTTTCCTTTTTCGGCCGTTTTTAAATACTCGCTCTATTTCCTTTTTTTGGAAAGCTTTTACAATATTTAAATCATTTCTCACACTTAATGGACCCAACATAATACTCTCTCTCCTCCTATTCTTCCACTACTTTTGTTTTTTACAATTTTTTATTCTCTCAACTACCCCACTACCTCCATATTTTATTACTTTCTTCAATTTCTTCTAAAACTCTTCGCATGGAGAAATGGAGCAAGTATTTAAAAACGGAGGTAGTATTTGTTGTTTAACCTAAGTTTATATAGTTGTTAATGTTATTTAAAAATAAAATATAGTTGTTAATGAACATATTATAGAAAAAATATCAAATCTTTTATTTATGTATTATTTTGCTATATTTTTATTTATGTATATGATTTTTTTGCTATAAAATAATAATAAAAAAATCTATGAGGTATACCAGAAAATGATACGTGTCATTGCTGGTGTGTTTTTTATTACATCATCCGTTTCTTTTTAGTTGACACGTTTCTTTAGTCACATTTGCCAATGTACAAATTCAACCATTAATATCTTTAATTATCGATAACAAAAATTATGAAAAGTTGATATTTTGAAAATATATATTGTGACGAATCTAACAAGATCCCACATGAATATATTTTTCATTACGTATAAAACACAAAACACGATCAAAGGGGAGTGTGTGAATAGAGCTAAAGTCAAAATGTGTTCTCTAATAAAAAACAAAGGTAGTATACAGTTATTGATTGATGGTATATTAATACCTCTATGTATGGTATTTAGTCTAGGAGATTCTAAATATTCTAAACACCCTTATACAAAAAATATCCTTAAAAGAAATAATGCTCTAGGTAGGATTCAAAACAAACGGCTTAGGGAGTATTGTTGGATTGTTTCTAGTTTTCTAATTTTGTAAAAAACCAAAAAAGGAGACTAGAAAAAAGTAGCTTTCACTTTTTTATTGTGTCATTTTTATTCTTTATACGACCTATAGAGTATAACAAACGGAAAATTACAGTTATACCGAACGAAATATAACATGTTGGATTACTAAGATGTAGGGGTGAAAGTTTGGTTTGCGGATTGAATTATAGCCAAAACTGAATCCAATTTAAATTAATTTGATTTGGATTATAGCCAAAATTGAATCCAATTCAGTTTGCGGATTGGATTATAGCCAAAACTGAATCCAATCCAAAATTGAATCCAGTTCGATTTGCGAATTGGATTATAGCCAAAACTGAATCCAAGCTAAATTAAGATTCGGTCCAATCCAAACCAAACCGAATTCATTCGGTTTTAGAATCCAATCCAAACCTAAATTTGTCCCTTCCTTTCGCAACATTCAGATTCGAAAACCTAAACTTCACCCAAAAAATTCATGCAATCATTCAACCTTTTCTTGTTAAGTACGTTCTTTGTGATAGAGTGAGATTTTGAGAAATTATTCTAGTTTATATTTGAAAGGGGAAAGGGGTTGGGATACTTCGTAAAGAAAATGGGGTTAATATAATGGGTCAAAATTTCAGTTTGTAATTCAATTTTTGGTTTTTTAAAACACCAAATCAAATCCAAACTACAATCCATTTTTTTTATAATTTTTTCCAAACCGACCAAATCTGTTTTAATAAATTCAGTTTGATATTCGATTCGATTTTAATCAAAATTACTTTCATCACTATTAAGTTGTAGTGTAGACACCTAAAAATGTCTCCCCAAAACCAAACCCGATGATGAACACCTTTCATCGCCATTATTGGTCGGGTTGAGTATTTAATATTTGGAGTGCTTAAATCCATGTTCTATCCAATATATTTCATAAACCAATCCAATTTCTAGCTCATTCCCCTAAACCATAATCTATTTTCCACTTTTCTTGTCCACATCGCAAAACCGAGAGAAACTGATTTTATGGCTATATAATTTTGATCTAATTATTATTTGGTTGGATAGGCCTTGAAATAAGCTTTCCAACCTGTAGGGAATAATTTCAAGCCTTTAAATCCCAATAGCTTGAACCCTACTGTGATCATACACTAAAGTACGGTGGCGTCCAAAAGGGAAGAAGATAGAGCAAAAAGGTCGCCAACAAGTTTTTAAGGAACTTGTAAACCGTTCACGAGGTGAAGGTTACACCCCTTAACGATCCAAGAGATCGTCAACTCCATAAGGTCATGAACCAAATAAGGGTTCGGGGATGATGGTACAAATCCAACCTAAAAGAGATTGAACATGCCCTAATAATAGGCCTCTACTTTATTCTGCTCGTATTCATGTGCGCTTTCTGACTAACATACAATCAATAGATTAACCCTAAACCTGTTTAATCTATGTTGGTTGAATTTAATGCACAAACAAACTATTATTGGCGATCACTTGAATTATAATCAAAGTTAACCTAACAAGATTATTAATATCTTATTAAGCGTGATTACAAGTACAAATTCCCTTCAAACATGCAATAAAGGTGTGATCAAGCAATAAATAATAAACATCAAGCAACATAATAATAATCATCATAAAAATAGTAATAATAATAATAATCATCATAATAAAAATAATATTCATAATCATTATAACAATTATAATCATAATCATATTCATGTTAATATTAAAGCATAATAAAAATAGCAAGATCCTAGGCATGATACTAACAAGATTAATAACAAACCCTAGCATGTCACTAAGCAATAAAAATCAAATCTTTAACCCTAACATGATACTAACAATCATAAATATTAGGAAGAGAATAAAAGGCATCATAGCAATCATATTTAATATTAAAAATAACCTAAACATGATACTAGGAATATCATAATAACAATATAAACATGATTTCTACATCATAATATCAATTAATCAATTAAAGTACTTACTTTGATGTCTCGTACCTCTTTCTAATAACAAAATACACACGTTAGTAACTTCAAGGAAAATAATAATCAAAACAATTAAATTAAATAATTGAAATAGAGATTTGGGACCAAACCCTCAGAAATTAAACCTTTCACGCCTAGGGCGAAGGCAACTTCGAATATGGCTAGGTGTATCTAGATCTTGCGAATGCGGAATTTTGTATGAAAAAGCAAGAAAGAATTGAATGCTAAAGAATACTTGAGAATGAGAGAATTGGTGAATGATAGATGTATATGATGATGATGAATGAAAACGGAGTTTTTGATGCGATATTTATAGAGAAAATCAGCCAAAAAAGATAATTTAACAAAACAGAGTCTAACAATCGCAAAACAGGATTGGCGCCAACCCTGGCTAGCGCCTGGCGCCAAGGCCTGGGGTTGGACGCCAAACTGGATTTCAACGCGTTTTTGAAAATTTGATAAGTTTCCCGTACTGGAAGATAAAATAATATAATTTCTTCGAAAATGCTATTTGAATTTGATTAAAACTCTGAAAAGTCAACAAAAGTCAATTTATCAATGCTAGTTGAATTAGGAATGAAAAGAACCTTCTAAAGAATCTAGAAGACTAAAACCATTCCTAATTGCATTAGGAATGATAAATCATATTAGGCCCTCCCCTAGATCATTGGGCCGTACATAAAGCTCAAACCGGGCCCAGTTTAGTAAATTGGTCATAACTTCCTCAATATTCATCGGAATTGGGCTTATAATATATCGTTGGAAAGGTCTTTGCAAGCCCCATCCAACTATACCACTATTGGACCCATATCATGGACCAACAAAACTGGATTGACTGTTTTTTTAAAATAAAGTTTTCCAAAACAGGGAGAAGAGAAAAGAAATAAAAACTTTCCGCAACACTAGACCTTTCCACACTTTCGTTTCATTCGATTATGATTCGACGTGAAAGGTACTCATCACCGGTTTTGGTTTTGGGGAGACACAAATGGGTGTCTACACAACCATATATCATAAGCCCAATTCCGAGCTATAACGAAATAGATATGAGCAAAATACTAAACTCAGCCCAAAATCGACACCCTTCCACTAAAACGGATATATCTTAAAATCTAAAAATCATTTTGACTTGATTTTAAATGGTTTGGAAATTAGACTTGATAAGATTTCCAATGATATATTATATGCCTTATTCCAAGTTATGGATCAAAAGCTATGATGATTTTAAAAACAGGTAAAAAACTGGAATCACCGCGCACAGTGCAAAAGCACCGTGTCACGGGAGTGTGCCCCGTCTGACGGTGCCTGGTGCCGTGACACGGTACTGTACATCGTGTCACGACGCCATTTGTGAAGCTTTTTTGCGTCAAATTCCACCTGGCACGGTACCTATTGCCGTGACACGGTACCTGTTGCCGTGACACGGTATTTCCCACTGTGTCACGATGCTTTTTCTTTGTAATTTCCGCGTTTTCCCATACCGTGACACGGTGTACTATACCTGCCATGGTAGACACTTCCGTTCACGGTACGTGTGCCGTGCAACGGAATTTTCTCGTGTCTTTTCCGCGTAAACCCTTCATGCGTTTTCACTTCCTGTAGGTCAAATATTTCCCACGTCACTCCAGTTGTCCACCGCGTCACGGGATTTTCCCCCGTCTGACGGTGCCTTCCCCCGTGTCGCGGTGTTATTTTTTATGTTATTTTTTATTTTTTTTTTATCTTTTTAAGGTTCCGTGTGTTCCCTCTACTCATTTTCCCTATAAATACCCCCTCCTTTCTGCAGTTCGGGGCATAAAATCCTTCTCTCTTTCTCTCTTATACACCAAAAATTATTCTCTTCTCTTTCTCTCATTTTCTAAGCTTTAAACCTATATTCCTAATTACATCATTCTTCCCCTAAGCACTCCAAGGAGTCCATTCAACACCCGAGGTTCCGTTCTTAAACCAAGGTGTGAAAGGTACAAATAACTAAGGGTTTGGACCAAATTAACTCTACTTTTTTATTTAATTTAATTTAATTTCTATTTGCTTTATATTTTTTATTGAAGTTACTAACAGTTTATTCATGATGTAGCAATTTAAAGGAACGCGCAGAATGTGAGTAATTAATTAATTTAATTACTCTTATTTTATTTTAATATTGCTAGTATCATGATTAGGTTATTTTATATTTGATTTGACTAACGCTATTATTGTTGAATTGCTTCCAATACTGATGTTTATTCTATTTGATCACCATATTTCATGTTAAAGGGAATATGTAATTGAAAATCACGCCTAATAAGATAATTTGGACAACCGGTTTAGGTTCCCTTTTAATCTTGTTATTTAATCAAGTGATCACAAATATTTTAGAATTATATGTTGCATTAATATTCAACCAATTTAGCATAATAATAGTTTGGAGAAAATTGAATCTTTGTTTGCATGCCTTTGAGATCGCAGGAATTACTCTTCACTAAAAGAATCGAGTAGAGGCCAATACGGGCGAATGTGACTCCATGACTCACTTCGTACCATCATCCCCGATCCTCCTTTCGTGGTTGCGAACCATATGGAGTTAGTAATCTCATGGATTATGAATGGGGTGTAACCTTCACGAGTCAATCGTTGTTGCCTATCGTTGTCCCTTATTCGTGGTTGCCTTTTATGATCCGTGAACGGTTTACAAGTTCCTTAAAAACTTGTTGGCAGCTCCCTACTTTCCTTGTCCCTAATTGTATTATGTCAATTCCTACTTCCTATGAGTGCCAAGCATATTCACACATGCTTTAACGTAGGCGCACTTCGAGCGACGCCTACATGTAGCAACTATGTAAAGAATCTAATTGCGAATTTCTAAATGTTAAAGAGTGTATGGCGAATAATGTGATAAAACATGGGTAATCAGTGAAAAAATCGTATTTTTTTTCCTACAAAGGAAACAAATGTAGGATTTCCTATAGAGGAAACAAATGTACGGAGTAGGAATTTGTAAAAACAAAAACTTGAAAAATATTAGGGCTTGTTTGACATCTTTTTTTTTTTTTTTTTTTTTATTTTTATTTTTGTTTTCTGTTTTGTATTTAAAACAAAAAACCAAAAACAAAAAAATAAAAAAGAGGTGTTTCCACTTTGCTGTTGTCAGTTTTCATAATCTATAAACCTATACTAAAGGCGAAACCTGGAATGACACTTGTCATTTCCTGATTAAAAATTTTCCCGCCTTTTTTTCTTTCCTTTTATTTTTTTTCCGATATTTTAATGACATTCATTTAATAACCTACAATAATAGTTATTTCTAATTTAACAACATATTTAATCCCATTATACTCAATTTTTTGTACATATATTTTATATACTAGGAAACTTTTAGTTACATCAATATTAAGATAGATTAAAAATAAGGTATTGTAATATATTATTTTCCAATATTATTATAATATTGTCAATATTAATTTTTTTTTCTCCAACTTTCATCATTTGACAATAAAATATATTTTAATTTAAAAAATATCATTTGGTAACATACATTATATAAATCTTAAAGTTATATAACATTTATAAGAACAAAATCATTCAATTATATAATACATAACATATATTGGAAAATTTAATCTAATTACTCTAATATTTATATGATTTAAAAAAATAAAAACAAAACTCCTATTACTCACTAAAAATATATTAAAAAAGTTGATTACGAAATATTGATTATTCTAAAGTAAAATGAAATCAAATAAATTTTCATATTTCTGTGAAAATGTATTAATAATTTAAGGATAGATGTATATTAATTCGCATATGGGTACAAATCTAAGCTAATATTTTAATTTTATTACATAAAACCTTACAGATTCTAAATTTCTATTATTATTTTTTTTATACAATCCAATTCAATAACCTTTACTTATTTCAGTATTTGGTATTGGTATGAACTAAAATTCAAGTTATTTTGTTACAAATATTTTTTTAGATAAAATAATGTTGAATTTACACTATTATTTATAATTTATTTGTTGTAAAATTTAATTATGACCGTGCATGACACGGGACTTAACCTAGTTATCATGATATTTATAAACCTGACTAATTTTTAATTCATTACATGTCATAAACATATAATTTTGAAAAACAAAAAACCACACTGATTAAACTCTTAGTTAACTAATAAGACAAATCTACCCCTTAAACATCTCGAACATTTGAATCCTAGAAAAAAAAAAACAATTAAAAAAAACAAAGAAAGAGGTGATGCAAGTGAAGTTCGGTATATTTGTGGGTTTGAACCGAATTCCGCTTACCAGTCAATTAGTCAGCTCCCTCCTCACAAGTCCAACATGCGTCCAACATTTCCACCCTTTTAACACATTAAAACATTCATATCATTACATTTCCAATTTTATCCTTTCATTCACTCATTTTCTCTCTCCTCTTTCCGGCGAATGCCGCTTTTCTCACCGGCGACATTCTCGCCGTCGTCGGAAACTCCATTACCGTCGCCTACATTATTCTTCTCTAACCTCTGAATCAACCCTCTTTTTCTCTCTCCTTAATCCGCCATTAAAATGCCGAGTCTAGCTCTTCTCTTCCTTCTTTCTCTCTCTTTCTTCTTCTTCTTCACTACTGTCGCCATTGACGGAGATTTATCCGCGCTTCTTGCCGTCAAATCCGCCATTTCTAGTGACCCTTCTGGGGTACTTTCGAACTGGACTGCTAAGACTCACTACTGTGAGTGGCGTGGTGTTTCTTGTGATTCTTCTAATGGTAGAGTGGTTTCTGTTAATCTTACGTTGTTGGGTGAAAATGGCGGTTCTTCTGTTCTCGCCGGAACCCTAGCTTCTTCCGTCGGAAACTTGACGGAGCTTAGGGTTTTGTCGATTGCTAATCACGGGTTTTCCGGCGAGATTCCGGCGGAAATTGGATCTTTGCGGCGTTTAGAGGTGGTTGAACTTCAGGGGAATAATTTCTCCGGGAGGATCCCGCATGAGATAAGCAATCTTACTTCGTTTTCGCTTCGTTTGCTTAATTTGTCGTTTAATTTGCTTACTGGGAAAGTTCCGGGCAGTTTAATTGGGTCTGGGAAAATTAGGGTTCTTGATTTGTCTGATAATCAGTTGTCTGGTAAGATTAATGTGGGTCATGATTGTTGGTATCTTACTCATTTGAAGCTTTCGAATAATTTTCTTGTTGGTGATGTTCCTGCTGAGATTGGGAAATGTATGAATTTGAGGACATTGTTACTTGATGGGAATATTTTGGAAGGTAGTATACCTCCTGAGATTGGCCGTTTGTCGGAACTTAGGGTCTTGGATGTTTCTAGAAATAGTCTTACGGATACGATTCCGAGGGAGCTTTGTAATTGCCGGAAGTTGGCTGTTCTTGTGCTTACCAACTTGGTTGAGTATAGTGATGATAGATCGTTGGATATTTTTAGGGGTGAGTATAATGCGTTTGTGGGAGGTGTTCCTGAAGAGGTATTTATGATTCCTGCTTTGCAGGTGTTATGGGCGCCTAGAGCAAATATTGGCGGTCGCTTGCCTTGGAATTGGACTAAGTATTGCTCGTTAAGAGCTCTGAATTTGGGTCAGAATTATATTGATGGTATTATACCGGAGGGTATTGCAATGTGTAGAAATTTGACTTTTTTGGATTTAAGTTCAAATGGTCTTTCTGGAAACTTCCCTTTGCAGCTTCAAGTCTCATGCATGGTGTATTTGAATGTTAGTTGGAACTCACTTTCGGGTCTTCTTCTGCCATCCGATAATCATAATTGTGGTGGAGGAGTGAACTTGAAGAGGGATGATTTGTATTATCTTGATGAAGAAGATATTGAAAATGTTTACTTCCGTGTCAATATGTGGGATCCTGAATCGAATGTCCAATATGGTGTAATGTCAGATGATAGTCTGGTGATAAAACATGATTTTGGGAGGAACAAATTCACTGGTTCATTGCCTTTATTTTCTTTGTCAGCTGGGCTGTTCGTTCTCAATGGTAATGTATCATTTGAGCTTTTGCTGAATGAAAATGGCTTCAATGGGTCTCTTCCTGGCAAGTTGTTATCTGGTTGTCAAAATGTTCGTGGTGTTTATGTGAATCTGACTGCTAATAAGTTATCTGGGGAGATATCCCGTACGCTACTTCAGGATTGTTTGGAGCTAAAAAGTTTTGAAGTAGCCCAGAATCATATGTGGGGGTCAATTTCATCAGATATCAATAACTTGAATATGCTTAGTAATCTTGATTTAAGAGAAAACCAGTTATCTGGGCCTCTACCTAAGCAGTTGGGAGACTTAAAATCTCTGAAATCACTACTTCTTGGCAGGAATAACTTTACTGGGGAGATTCCTCCACAACTTGGTGAATTGACTAACCTTGAGGATTTGGATCTGTCCGAAAACAATCTCAAAGGACCAATTCCTAGTGCATTGGCAAATGCAAGCAATCTAAAAGTTCTTTTGTTGGATCACAATGTGCTTACGGACGACATACCTTGGTCATTCTCATCCTTGTCCCATCTTGTGGAGTTGGATGTTTCATTTAACAATCTCACTGGTCATATTCCGCACCTACAGAATATAAGTGATTGTGCAAGCTTCAAGGGTAATAAATTTCTGCACTCATGTCCTGATCCTTATTCGGTACCACCAGCTGGTCTCCCAGTTCCCCTTGAAGTTGAGAAAGTGCACCATCGAAGAAAAATAAAATCCTTGATAATTGCAGCAGCGACTTCTGTCTCAGTTGTAATTGTCGTTATCCTAGTGATAGTGCTTGGGTTTGTTTTTGGAAGAAAAAAGCTGGGTAGACTCTCTTGCCTGAGAAGAAAGGTAGTTGTGACTTTTGCTAATACTCCAGTAGAATTGACTTATGATAATGTGGTTAGTGCAACTGGAAATTTTAGCATTCGGAACTTGATTGGTACTGGTGGGTTCGGATCGACTTACAAGGCTGAACTTGTCCCAGGTTATCTTGTAGCTGTTAAAAGGTTGTCCATAGGCAGATTCCAAGGAATCCAACAATTTGAGGCAGAGATTAAGACTTTGGGGAGAGTTAGACATAAGAATCTTGTAACCCTAATTGGATACTATGTAGGAGATATTGAAATGTTTTTAATATACAATTATCTTTCGGGGGGAAACCTTGAGACATTCATACATGACAGATCAGCAAACAATGTCAAATGGCCTGAAATATACAAGATAACAGATGATGTAGCTCATGCCCTTGCCTACCTTCACTATTCATGTGTTCCTCGAATAGTTCATAGGGATATCAAGCCAAGCAATATTTTGCTGGATGAGGAGCTTAATGCCTATCTCTCTGACTTTGGGTTAGCTCGGTTGCTTGAAGTTTCTCAGACCCATGCCACAACTGATGTGGCAGGCACATTTGGTTATGTGGCACCAGAGTATGCAACCACATGTAGGGTTTCGGACAAGGCTGATGTTTACAGCTTTGGTGTTGTGCTTTTAGAATTGATGTCAGGGAAGAAAACTCTTGATCCATCATTTTCTGAATATGGTAATGGGTTCAATATTGTTGGATGGGCCATGTTACTGATGGACGAGGGGAGGTGTTCTGAGTTCTTCTACTCGGAATTATGGGAAGCAGGGCCTGAAGAGAACTTGTTGAAGATGTTGCAGCTTGCTTTGTCATGTACTGTAGAGTCGCTTGCTATTAGGCCATCAATGAAACAGGTTCTTGAAAAATTGAAACAACTGAGTTCCTGATGGCATCCCGTCAATGAAACAGGTTCTTGAGAAATTGAAACAACTGAGTCATGGCACAATGTGTTGTCCAATCAAAAGCATCGTGGTGTACCTTGTGATAGATCCACTTGTTAAAAATCCATTCTTGAAATCAAGGTATTACGTCTTTTCATTTGTATTAAATAAATTATGTTCTTTTAGTTTCCATTTGCTCCTCTGTTATTAGGGGTAATGGGGTCTCCGTCTATGATGCGTATCTCGCATAAGACAAAACCTGCAGGGGCACTTTTGTTTCTCCTTTTATCATGTTTTTATGAGGAATCTTGTTTTACACTATGCTAGGGCCTAGGAGGAGCTTAGTTATCATTTCCTTATCAATAGTTTAATACTATGCTGCAGCTCCCAAGTTGTTTTCTTGTTTTTCAGCCCTGAATTGTAGACGAATTCAGCTGGAGGCAATGGAAATATCAGAAGTCAGGCAGGAGACCAAGTTTTTCTGTTAAGAGTACTTTGGCTCTCTAAAATAAACCTCTATTTCTTCCACCATGCTGAGATGTATCTGACAATTTTGGTCACTTAATGGTGTGGGATTTTGTACTCGTCCCTTGCCAGGTAGTTAGCCATTCGTAACTTTCTACAGGCTGCCTTTGCTTTTGTTAAATTTAAGATCTTGTGATTTCACCGGGGTCATTCAATATCTATTGCAGATGTTTACATGTATGGAGATGAGTTGATGTTCAATTTTCTCGCATGCCTTTTTTCAGGGACAATCCCTGTTTATCTATTCAGCATGAGATGGTGACCCACATACAGCAGCAGAGCGTGGTCATCAAATATATAATCTTATGAGAATTGCAAGTCAAAGATGTGAAACAGCATGAGAACTCTTGGATGCAATATGGTTAGATGCCCGCCCCTAGTCGTGGAATATATAAGAAAGCAATGCTTTCTTTGTGTATATTGTATTTGTTAATTTGGTAAATTGTCTAACAGCTAAAATTGTCCTATTTTTCAGTTGAGGAGAATGAAAGGCAATGTGCTGTCAGCTTTGCTGAAAATGATCATGGACAGTAGGTAATCTCTCCTCGTCAATGTCATGATGCATTAACTTCACATCCACTAAGCATTTTAGTTTGCCTCAGCTGTTAGACATTAATACTGGTTAGAAACTACTCCCTTTGTGCCCTTAAAAAGCTTCACATATTTCTTTCTGGGTTGTCTTAAAATAAACTTAGCATTTCCATTTCAAGTATATGTTACCAAGTAGATTCTAAATTATACATAGTATTTTTTTTTTTCTCTCTCATCAATACTTTTTTTTTTCCATCCTAACTGTGAAGTATATTGATGAGGGGGTTGGAGCTTGTATTTGTTTGCGTCAAATTGACTCTTTTGATATCTGTAGGTGAAACTGATTCCATGATTAATCCCTTGGATAAAAGCTATGAGCCTACGACCACTAAACTTCCAGGAGAGCCATTGTGTTGTATGGTGATAATAAGACCAGCGCATTGAAGAGGACCTGTTACCTGCAGTATAAATTTTAAATAAATGGCCTGCAATCTAAAGCTTTTATGTTTTCTCTAGCCGGCAGAGAATCTGAAGTCTGCAGTTTTATGTATGGCAGACAGGTTTCCAGCTAGTTCCCCTGTTACACCCTGTATGGTTGTAATTTGTTTAAACTTGACTCGTGACCTCAAAGAGCTTTGTCTATTACTAAATTACTAAGTACCATTTTTGTAGCCTGATGCAGAGTTTTGCACAGATGTGTTTCTGCCATCAGACCATCAATTGCAAAATGGCATGTGATGGTTTATCTCTGCATATGCTGTTTAATTTCGTGTTTTCAGGCTAAGGAATCAGTTGAAAATTCCAGCGTGCCCATTATGCTGTAGCCAATTTCATTTACTCAAGTTGTAAGCTGACTTATGTACAAAAGATTAGAAAAGCAAAAGACTATTAGCCAAGAACTCTCATATAAATGCAAACAGAAAAATGTTTCATTTGGATTATATCATTAAGCTGCAAGCCGACCAATACAATTCCCCCCAATGCATGTGCTTATTGAGTCTCTTCAATAGTAATGAACACCTGCATTTGGTGCCTATCTCTCTGCAAGCTTGTAACATTGCCTTCAGTCATCACCCCACTCATCGCCCCGACTAGCTTTTTTAACAATTTCCTCTGTAGTGGTGCCAATGACATCATTAGCCTTCTTAACATCAAGAGATGAGTACCGGTCAGATTGATCCTGCATTAAAGATAGATTGATATATAATTATAATCACTGTAATCATATCTAATAAGACGATTTTGAAAAGCAGTGTCACGTGGTTCAGTCATTCACTGTCTCGTATCTATATTTTGTTTATTTTATACATAGATACAACATAAAATTAGCTCAGAATATACCTTCAATATGATTTATTAAAATTTGTTATATACAATCGGGTGCATCGTACACCGAACTAACCCAAAGTTAGTTTTTGCTTGAATTTTTTTTTTTTTTATTTATTTTTTTATTTATGACAGTTTGCTTTTCATTTGATGATTGTATGAAAAACAGTAATCAAAATGAGAACTAAATACTCATGGGTGTATATAACAATCTCTGTGATTTATTGATCTCTATTACACATACTAAAGCATTAATCCAACATGCAATTATGAAAATCCATAAAATATATTGGCTTAAGTGTATCACATCATATTAGCAAATTAGAATTTTTAAAATCTACTCGTACATTTGTTTGCAAATAGAATTAAGACTATTACATTTTGGTTTTTTCCGACGTTCAGAAAAACAATTACAATTAAGGGTTATATTTGAAAACTATTTGTATAACTTTGTACTCATATAATCGTAAATTTGTTCTTAATAACGTTTTTGATTTGTGTGAATTTGTTCAAATTTTAATTTAAGGCTAGTTGGTAAATAATTAAATACTTACCTCCATTTTTTATTAGTTGACATGTATTCCTTTTTAGGAAGTTTTTTTTTAGTTGACACATTTCCTTTTTGAGTAAGTTTTATACCTTGCTTTTTAAGTGTACCCCACTTACTTTATCATTCTCTCACTCTCTCTTTTCTCCTAAATATGTATCTAAATTGAACGTGTCAACTAAATAGAAACGAAGGAAGTATATATAAAATAAAACAAAAGGATATTAAACGGATTTCTTACCTTATAAACAATACCTAGTTTCTCTAACTTGTCAATAGCATCATTTACATCAAAGTCACATTGTTCGTTAAATTGCTCTAATATCAGCTCCTCACATTTCCGGTCAAGGTCCTGTTTCAACATTCCATATTCAAGTTGAATTAACCAACAAGGTCGTAAATTTGTACAAATGATTCTAAAAAAAATGTAAGCATTAATGATTCTTACTTCACAGTTGAAATTCCCATACTTCATCAACACGAAGAATGCAATAATAACCTCTTTAACCTGTACGAACAACAAAAACCTTTAAAATCTGGGAAGATCTATATGGAGTTAAATAATCGACAACAGAAAGCTATAACTTGTATCGGTATGAGTTATATAATCGACCACAGAAAGCCTATATGTAATTTGAGTCCACAACTTACTTCTTGTTTCAGAACATTATCACATAGATGAAGTAGAGTGCCTCTTCCACTGTCTAGTTGTTTGTCATACATGGACTGGGTGATTAAACTATGATAGTCACTCAAATTGGCCTGAAACCTGAGAGCATTAAACCAGAAATGAATGTTAAACAAGAGTAAAAGAAATCTACATGTTGAAGAATTTGAAAAAATAATACAAGTATTAATAGCGTTAAAAATCGCAAGCACTTGGTGCTTATTGAATAGAATAAATACATTAAGATTCAGAGGAAGTACTTAACGTGAAATATATCTTAGCACAATAACAAACCACTGCGGAGCCGACAGTAGCCAACACTTTCAGATTAGCTGTAGTCTGGCAGAGCTGGGTTATAACTGTCACCTGATAATACAGCACATTTTGTTTGGTTGAGCAATCTACAAAGCTAACAAGTGCACGCTAGCTCACTATTTTAAAACAATCATCTTTTAAATTACTTAAGGCAAATCTGGCAATGATGTATCCACATTTTGAAAGACACAAAGTAATGGTTAAACAATTAAATTTTACAACTTAAACCATCAAATTCAAATATGGCATATTACTCATAAAAAGGAAGAAGTTACCAGTCCAATTGCAGCTGAAACAAGGAGTTTAAACCAGTCATATGAAGTTAATCCTGGACTCTTCTTTTCGGGCTTCAAAGGGAAAAAAAAAAGTGATATTGTAAAATGGCATACAACATAATGTATATGGCTCAAAACAACAAAAAGAAGTGTTTGAACATACAAGAACAATTTCCATGTCAGCCATGGGAATGTGTTTGAAGTGCTTTACATAAATTGCTCTTCCGTCTTCAGTTGATTTCAATCTGCAGGGTTTCTACACGTTAGAAATTATAAGAAATATTCTCTGCAGATTATAAGAAAGCAGGTTTTCAGTCTTCAAGAAGGTATCTATCACTTGTGTTTCCATATTCTCAAGAATCACGGCTAAAGAGGATTCTTCAACAGATGATAATTCATTTTATTATATTCCAAACCCTGTTTCAAACACATTCCATCCTTCAATTAAAAGATTTATTAGAATTTGACCTCATACACTTCACTATAGTTGAACCAAGCACATACTCCCTCATTCATTGCCTCCAAAAATAGCATCCCCTCAAATGTTGGCGAAATTAAACACAGGAATCTGAAGAAAAATTACCTGTATATAATAATAATCTTCTCGAAGGTTGGCTCTTGGATTGTCGTTTTACTGAGTAAGTTGCAAGGACTGAGTAAAAGCAGAATGTCAAAAAAAAGTCAACGCAACAGATATGTGAAATAGATGCAATCATCTATCACTCTATTTAGCAACCATGTTAGCCTTAGGCCAACAGGCAAAGGTAGACACTATCTTAAGGACCTTATATTGCAACAATACCAACTGCAGGCTGCAGCAAAAATATCCCACAACATGCAAGCTTGGTCTCTACCAAGTCTAGACTACAGAAGTAATCAGTAATCTATGTTATTAAAATATATATAATCTCTAGTTTTAATCTAAAGTCGTTCCAGTTTGACTTGCACGTGTGCCAACACAACTTTAACCGCCAATATCTATAATTATCGTAAGTGAAAAAGTTTAAAAAAAAATAAAAATGAATACATTCATTGAAACAAAATCGAAAACATGTTACATGATAATATATACTTCATCCGTTTCTTTATAACTGCAACACACCTTCTTGGCATGCTATTTGAGGAAGGGATTAGAGAAGATAAACATCAAACATATTAATCTAAATTATTTTTCGTATTGATATTAAAATTATTCTAATTAATTTGTCCGTTTATCTTTCCCAAACCTCGTACAAAATGGTATGTTAGTATTATAAAGAAACAGAAGAAGTATGTTTTTCAACGTATAAGAACAAAACATGGTCAAAGTGAGTTTTATACTTCTATAAAAAGTATCAAAAGTCCAAAAGGGAGTAATTCACCATCTCAGCCTCTCTATCAGCATTTACGAATTTACTATTTATCTGTCATTTGATTTTGTGACCAGCAATGTGCTTGGTTTTATGGACCTTAAGTAACTTCAGTAACAATGCATATAGATAATAAAACCAATAGTTTTACCAAGTTTTTAATGTAACTCATTCAAATTTTAAGTTGAGATCTGGCAAGTATGGAAACAAGCAGGTTTAACTTTGATGTTTCTCTCAAGTATAAACTGCTTCCATTAATGACTTTAATGTAGGATGAAAAACTCCTAAGCATTTAAATTATGATTGAAAAGGCATGGATTTTAATATGTTCTAATGCCAGAGAACTTCGGTAGATTTAGTGAAAAAAGTAAAATAATACTTGTATTCACTAATGCCCTATCAGCAAAAGAGGAATACGAGTCTCATTCAAACCTGAGATTCATATTCTGAATACGAATCCTTTCAATTAATAAGCTGTGTTCATCACCACCACCATCATCATCCTCATCCTGTTCATCATTTTCGGTGACTAAAACTTCGTGCAGTTCTTCATTTTTCACATGTTGCTTCCTTCTCTTTTTTGAGAATAACTTACTCAGACTGCACCAAAACACATCCAAAAATAAGTGGTTTTAAAGTAAGGATATTATTTCAACAAGTAATATGCTCCAAATAATTATAATAAAACCAAGTACCCTAATGGGAATTATATATATATATATATATATATATATATACTACCTCCGTTAAATGTGCAACTTTGGAATATTTTATATCTCACAAATAATACCCCAAAGTTGCACATAACAATTAACGGAGGTGGTATAAAAGAAAGGAGAACAGAACTATTCTGCCTTATTGTTATATATATAGCTGCAACGTTTACTTACAAGTCAATCAAATCTACCATAACCATATAGTAGCCTTTCTGCTCTTTCTTTTTTACTAATTTCAGCAACTAGTAGAAAGTACAGGAACAGAGGACAAGATGTCCTTGTAACTTAAAAAAGCAGATTACATGCCCAATATCCACAAATAAGTAACTAAACTTGCCCCACTGCCTTAGCCCACAAAGAAGCCCTATCCCACAGCAAATCAGCACTCAAAGTGGTTCCTTTGAAAATTACCACAGAATCATTATAAGAGCATTTTCATTGAGAATATGGCGAAGAAAAGTTTGGCCAACCCCAAGGCAAAATCGACCAATAGGGTGCACTTTCACATTGAGAGCATGGCAAAGGAAAATGTTGGCTGTAGCAAAAATGAACTCCAGCTAATACAGTATGAGTGCGCATCATGTCTACTTCTGACATAAAAAGACATTGTACTATAATCTTTTCATTTTATTCCTTCCATCACCAATACTGGGTCATACCAAACCATAGATAACATAAAAATAAGAATTGCTTTTTGAATTGGTAACCACCTCAGATAAAGTTTGACATATGTGTGAGAAGTCAATAATGAATCCATACGCTTAGAGCTCTTAATAGCCAACTTTCATAACACATTTTAAAGTTCTTTTACAAATGCCAAAATTTTCTTTTTACAGTAACAGTTTGGACATTCAAGTGTAGCAGTATTAGCTTGGTATTAGATGTTCAACTATAAGAGGTACCAACACAATATTATTCTCAGATGAGAACAACAATGAGAAGTGAATTGAGTGACTGACATTGAATCAGAAATTTTCGAATATATATATAGATTTTTTTTAGAGTAAGTTCATTAATGACCCGCTTGATAGAATTAAGACCCTTAAGTTGGAATGAGAGAAGACAACAAAATCAACAACATTGCAGTTTATTTATTTACTTGACTTACCCAGTCAATCTCAAGAAGCCTTGCGCAATTCGTGAAATAAGAGCATCGATTTTCCATTGAGCAAAGTAACCAGCCTTTCGATCCATTCCAAAACCACGCCGAAAAATGATGTACTGCAAAAAGTTAATTAGCTAGATGAATATCTAAAAGGAAACAAGAAATACACTTAATAAACCCCATAGGCATTTTGAAAGGAAAAAAATGCGTATTACATTTCCTTCATATGAACAACTCACACCTACGTAATTGAACAAAATACTATCAAGTATCAACCATGCCAAAACATGGCTCTTCAGTTATATATTCTTCTATAACATGATATACCACATTTGACCTTTGAACTTTTTACTTCAAATAAAGTTTCTATCATCATTTGTTAGTAAAATTATCAAAGATAGTTTTTTGAAATATTTTGAAAAGTGTAGAGTATAACTTTTGCCCTTCTAATCAAAGCAGGATTATATCAAATCACTGATGAAATATAAATGTCAAATGACATTGTTAATAAAAAAAAAAAAAAGTGTTACTTTGTACTTCTTATGTTATAACACAATCAGACTAACTCCACACTCATTCTGGGAAATAACACACACAATTAAAAAGACATCTTTATAATGGTATTTCTCACACAAAAGATATAGGTTAAATATTGTTGATCTCATTTTGATTAGAAATAGAACTAACAAAAACAAGGTAACCCTTTATCATTTTTTGACACTTTTTGTTAATGTCTTAAGCAAGGTGATATATTTTGAGAAAAAGAATGGCCTGAGAAAGGTAATCAAACTAAGAGAGTTGGGGCTGGAAATTTTGGCAAACTCCTATATCTTCTCATTAGATATATATGCATTCTCCATAGATTTCACAATTTTCAAGGTTCATGAAGGTCTCTGGTCAAAAATTCTACACGGATAAGAGCTGCATAGCACTATAATCTGCCTTGAGCTGAAAAGATTTCCAACTTTGACCTTTTTTGACATTCTGCTCTTATCTGTATAGAATATTAGACAGAAACCTTTTCAGCTGCTACTACTGCTGCTGCTCCTACTTCCCCTTAAAGCGTCCTACACAAGACATCTACACCAAAAACACAAAAGATGTAATGATGAGAAAGCCCAGAACCAACACCTAAGCCTCCCTTTTAACTAAGCTAAAACACACAAAAGAAAGACACCCCCAAACTCATCTCCTCCACCTAGGACAAAAAGCATTCAAGAAATTTTATCAACTAACTCAAAAATCAAGCTTAAATTGCACACCTTTACAACAAACATCCACCAAGAGACAAGAGCCAACAAAGCCGCTTCTAATATTTGTCTATCCCCAACAAAATCACTTTGTCACTAAAATATGTGCAAGATAAGGTAACATTCAGTAGTACAGTTAGAGAGAACTGAATCTCATAAACAATAGTATGCTGAGTAAGTGACCCAGATTCTTGTACTATAATAGACCATTAGTTCTTTAGAGCAAGTCACACTAATCTCTGTTAGTAGCCCTTCTCCCCACATAACTCTATTGTTTAAATAACAATACCTTCATGGTAAGAATATTAGGAAATTCCAATTCCAAAGTTTTTTTTAATAAACACTTCAACAGAATTTTGGTGGGATAAATCAATATGGAATGTTAATATCTATTTCACCTCTTTTATTCTTTCAAATTACAGATGCAGACATTGATGGTTTGATGTTTTCTTTCACGCAGCCTTTTTAATCATCCAAAAAGGCCAATCTTCAGATAGCTAAGACTTGTATTAGGCACATTGTCATTTCCGTGATACGTTTACTAATTGGAACTTGCAAGTTCCATAGCAATCTTCAGTACAAATTTGAAAGATTGAGAGTGACAAAAGAATCTATTGATTTAGCTATGATTTGGAATTTTTCAGAGCAAAACAATGTACTCCCTCTATTTCAAAAGTTCGACTCACTTTCTAATTGGGAATGTTTCAAAAATGTTTGATTCACTTGTACTTTATTATATTTTTGGCAAACCCCTTTTAATAACTTACCCTACACTACTTACACCTTTTCACTTACTCTCTCTCTCTCTCTCTCTCTCTCTCTCTCTCTCTCTCTCTCTCTCTCTCTCTCTTACTTTATCCATTTTTTTTTTACACCCACCACCTACCTTTTACTCCACCTATCTTACTTTATACACCTTTTTCAAACTAACTACCATAAATCAATCTACATCTTGAACTTTTTTTTTTATTAAGAGTAGGATGTCAAACTATTGGGTATCATCTATAAAGGTAAACTCAAGAGGACTACAAACCCTCCATTCTTCGCAATTTTAGACATATACATAGACATCATGGAAACAATGAATTTAAATCTTAAACTACTATTCTTTGATGCGAGTGTGTATGTATTTGGATAGGGCAGAGGGATTTAACCAACTTACTTCCTAATCAAAGACATACAGAATTTCAAACTAACATAAAACACCCATTCTAAGACCTTCATCATCCTCAAAGTCATCAATGAGTTCCCATGAAGATGCATTGTATGCAAGTTTTGCAGGAGGCAATGCTACATTTTCCCAAAAATATGATCATTCGTAAAATGAGAAGTGAGAAGTATAGCGATAAATGAAACTAAGTCCGATATAACTTATTCCCTATGTTGATAAAATATCTTAGCATCATTCCAACCCATCATGTTTAACAACCCACCACTGAAACCCCCTAAGCCTTTGTCCCTCATTCAATCACATTCAAGGGCATAAAAAATATATATACAAAACTAAAAGCATTATACGTTAGCTATTTCAAAAATACAATCATATTTTTTTCATACCTCTTACAAAAGTAGAAGTGGCAATTAATTTTTGATAGAGATGCATTGTAAAGTCTTGAATGACTTGTTTAATGGAAGACAAGGAGTTGTGATAGGAGATACCTTTGTGAGTGATGAAGAAATCGTCGTGGAGTATGTGCGGGGGATTAGGAGAGAAGAAGTGGAGGCTGCACTGAAGAAGATGAAGCCTATGAAAGCGGTTGGTCTTGATGGTATACTGGTAGAGGTGTAGAGGTGCTAAGGTAAGATTGGTATTGATTGGTTAACAAACCTCTTTAACAAGATATGGAGGGCTACAAGGATCCAGCAAGATTGGAGGAAGAGTACCTTGGTTACGATCTATAAAAACAAAGGAGACGCTCACGATTGTTCTAACTACCGAGGGATCAAGCTTATGAGCCACACTACGAAGTTTTGGGAAAGGGAGATTGAACATAGGTTGAGGGAGATTGAACATAGGTTGAGGGCGTGCACAAGCATTTCGGATAACCAATTTGGTTTGGTTTTATGCCCGGGAGATTTATTATGGAAGCAATCTATTTGATAAAACAAATGATGGATTTTTATAAGGTAAAGAAGAAGGACCTCCATATGGTTTTATTGATTTAGAGAAGGCATATGACAATGTGTCACGAGAGGTACTTTGGTTGGCTATGTTGAAGAAAGGTATTCCATGAAGGTATGTGGACATAGATAAAGATATATATTAGGATGTGCCAACAAATGTGAGGACATGTGGAGGGTTGACAAAAGATTTCCTTATTACAATTGGATTGCATCATGGGTCTGGGCTAAGCCCTTTTTTTCTTGCAACGATTCTAGATGAAATAACCAGGCAGTTGAGGATGAGGTTCCATGGTGTATGTTGTTTAAGGATGATATCATTTTGGTGGATGAAACTAAACATGGAGTTATTGCCAAATTAGAGCAATGGAGGCAAAGGTTGGAACCTAGAGGGTTTAAGCTAAGTGAGTTTAGATGGATAGGATTTGACAATGAGTGAGTGTTTTAAATATCTTGGGTCGATCATTCACAAGAATGGTGATATTAATCAAGACGTGACCCACAAAATTAAGTCGGGGTGGCTTAAATGGAGATTGGTCACGGGATTGTTATGTGACCGAAGCATTCCTTACAATTGAAGGAGAAATTCTATAGTATCATCATAAGACTAGTGTATCTCTATGGTACAAAATGTTGGGCTTCCAAGAAGTACATTAAAAAAAAAATGGAGGTTATGAAAATGCACATGTTAAGATGGACGTACATGAACACTCTAAGAGATGGAATAAAAAATGAAGTTATTCGCAGAAAAGTGGGTGTCGCAATAATTGCAGACAAAGTACGGGAAAATCGTCTATGTTGGTTCGGGCATATAAGATGGAGGTGGAGTGGAAAAAGTGAGATCATGGAGAGCTTAAACGAGGGAGAAAATGAAGTTATGAAAATGCACATGTTAAGATGGACGTACGGGAACACTCTAAGAGATGGAATAAAAAATGAAGTTATTCGCAGAAAAGTGGGTGTCGCAATAATTGCAGACAAAGTAAGGGAAAATCGTCTATGTTGGTTCGGGCATATAAGATGGAGGTGGAGTGGAAAAAGTGAGATCATGGAGAGGTTAAACGAGGTAGAGGGAGATCGAAAATGACTTGGTTGGAAGAAGTTAGGAAGGATATGAAGCATTGAAGCATACTGATTTGCATGAGAATGAGGTGTTTGATCGTAAGGGATGGAGGCGAAGATATTTGTGGATGACTATACGGAATAATCATTTTTGGTTCATGTAGCCGACCCACTTACGGGATGAAGGATTTGATTGATTGATGCATTGTACGTACATTGGAAAGTAAGGAGTTCACCTTTCTATTAACTTATTAATTGTAACAAATCAACACATAAGCATGGCCATCCTCTACACCAAATGACCACAAAATTAATGACGAAATTTACTAATAGAATTGTTTATTTGATAAACAAATATAAACTTTTAAAGTAGTGTACCTGTTTAGCAAAGTGGGGAAGGTTATCTCGGGGATGCTTCGCAAAAAACCTCTTCAAAAGTGTTGTGTCTAGCTACAGAATGAACAAATGTAAAAATCCAGTGGTTAGGAAAAATAAACACCAAGATAAGACAAACCAAACCAAATAGAATGTACAATGTATGAATAGCAAAGAAGATAACTGACAACCAAAGATCATAGTTCAATGAGAAATTTGTTAAAAAAAAGACCTTTTAAGTGGTCGATTTTTATAAAAGAATCTTTTAAGTGAAAAGTAGTGAAAAAGGACCTTTTAAGATGTATTTTGTTTTTATGGGGTACTTGAGTGAATGTTCTGGATGGTCAATGCCGGAGCTCCGGAGTTGGCTTTCACGTGACACGTGAGTCAAACAAAAAAAAAAAAAAAATATTTTACCCCCCAAATTTCCCTCCTATTTGAACTACTCCTTTCATTTTCCCCCTTTCTCTTTCTTTCTCTACCCCAAAATTTCGAGGGAAAAATATTTTTTTTTAACTCACGTGACTAACACGTGAAAGTCAACGCCTGGCATTGACCACCTAAAAAACTCACCAAAGTACCCCTTAAGACATAATACAACTTAAAAGGTTTTTTTTCACAACTTTTCACTTAAAAGGTCCTTTTACACAAGTTTCTTTAGTTCAATTAAATAGTTTTGCTCATATGCAACTACAACATGAAAGACACCTATATTCCTTTTATATTTAGTCTCAAAATGACATGGAATCTATTACAAAGCGCTTGTGAATACTAATGAGAGCATTGACTACAACAAACCTTAGCTTCATCAACTTTGATTGGAAGATTTAGACAATAATTCTCAGATGCAGCAACTTCAAACTCCTCATTTGTCACCATCTTGAAATTGCTTTTTTCCAACATCTTGAAAGACAAAGTGGAAATACTTGTCAAGAAAAGATTGTAATCTTATTTTACTTCAAGAAAAAACAAGTAGTCTTTATGTGATAAGCTACATCGATCCTAATATATCGAATTACAAACCCAGTCCCTATGGACACACCACTTTTTATTGGCCCTTTCTCCTGCAATAACTACTAGAAAAGATAAAAAAAATTATAAAAATATATAACTAAACCTATTAAGTTACCAAATGATGGTAATATTATATTCTATTTTTAATAACTATTGAACTAGTTGACATATAATAACTATCAATTTCTTTGTCAATACTACACAACTAGTAGTTGACATATACTATATGCTATATCTATATGGGCTTTGTTGCAAAAAGGATCTAAAATGACTTGAAATGTCTTTGCCTGAATTACACTTTAGCTACTAGCTAATTCATCAGAGTCATACCGAGAAATTAAGAATTGTATGTAGTCACTTAAGCAAGACGGCTCAATAAAAATACTTCAACATATTTAGTGTGAATAAAGTAAAGGAAGTTTGATCAATTTGGAACTTTTAAATTGAAATTCTGCCAAAGATAGTGAGATAAATGCACATGCATCACAAAACATTTTTGTTTCAATAAAGTTATATAGTGTGGTTTTTTTTTTTTCCCCCAAAATTACTTTAATTATTGTCAAATTATCCAAAATAAGATAACATAATGTTGCAAAATGACAATAAAAGTTATTTAAGACTCATATTTGATGATTTTTTTTAAAGCATGACCAATTAGCTTGTTTAAAACAAATAACTGTCGTAGCCAATAATTAACCTGCCAAAATAAAGGTCGTAAGAACTTTACAAATGTGTATGGTTAAACTGTGTAAAACTCCCTACGTATTACATTGTATTGCATAATTACATTTGACATTATAACTAACAATATTGGATGGCGAGATAACAAAAATAAGGAAAGTGCTGAGTCATAAAGAAAAAATATGAAAGAAAGCTTCTTGAAAAGGAAAGTGTACATTTTTTTTTTTTTTACAGCCAAAAAAATAAGTGCATAAAATGATACACGACACAGAGAATACCATAATTAATTTCCCTTTATAGGAGCAATGGATGGAGATCTTTAAAGGTTATAAAAGTAGTAAACCGTAGACGGTATATTATAGATTTGTAGTTGAGCTCAGGCAGTCATACAGTATAATAACACTTTCCCATCACCTTCATCTCAATGACCATTACAGAATAATACATATTAATAAAAATTTAATAAAAAAGATCAAGTTTACAAGATTATAAGGGTTTTCGAAAATGTAGGTGATCAATGCCAATGGTAGAAGTAAAGACAATGTTGACTAGACCTGATAATGAAATTCAGAGGCTAATCCTTTCAGAGGCCAGCCAGTGATACAACAAGTTTTTCAATGAATTTGATAAAGTATAAAGCATATTCCTAGACCTCAACCATCAACTTAAGCTTTTGGTTGAGTTGGTCCACTATCATGGTACCACAGCAAGCGTGACACAAAGGTCACGGGTTCGAATCTCATCCACCCCCACTTTCAAGTGGAATATTTCGCCCAGGGTATGCGAAGGGCCCATGAAGCTGAGGAATATGTTTATACCCTATTTGATCCCTGGAAATTCTTACCCTCCTCTTCACCTATAAAATTCTAATAGAGGAAAAAAAATCTCTTACTCTTACTACCTCCGTTTCATATTTTTTGCAACTTTTTTTTCAATAATGAATGATACACATTATTTGCAATTAATATTTTCTTTCCTTTTTACGCTGTCATTTTTTTTTTCTAAACTCCTCATCACATGCATTCCTATTTCTCTCTTTTTATCTTACACTTACAAGTTACAAACAAATTTTGCGTAACAGTCCGTGCACCCTTCAAAGTAGCAAAATTGTGAAACAAAGGTAGAATATTATTTCATCTATAAAATTGTTCATTACAACACAAGAATTAAATATTTCTAAGCAATAGAATTGGGTTACTGTTCTATGATTCTAAGTTTCCTATTCCTATTGGAAATCATGCTTTCACATTTCTACCTTCATACCACAGCTTTACTATTCTTATTTAAAATTATGCATTAATATTTCTGCCTTTCTATGATTGCATTACCTGTTTCAGTTGACATGTTAATAGACTCATCACTCTATCATCACAAAACAAGTGCATGTATTCTAATTAATTTGGTAAAGAAAGTATTGAGTTGAAATCAGCAAGGTAATACCTTAAATAGTAGAGCAAGAAACTTCTCCTCGACTAATTCAATTTTATCTTCAGGAAAATTGCACTCTTCCAATTTGCGAGCTCCAGCAACCGGTTCAAAAAGTTTGAATAATTGCTATCATAACATAAATCAAGACATATTCATCCAGCTATTAATCAAAATTATCATACAAAGCATAATCTACACCTTAATTGAGCAAATTACGCCATAAAAATTACCATCAGCTCTTCAAATTGTATAAGATACCAAGCTCGAATCGTGTAGTCAACTCTATTACAAAATGTTAAGAATTCTGCCCTCTCCGACTCACTTTCTGCCAAAAATAACAGAAAAATGAATCAATTTTTCAACTTTTCACAAACCTCCTGTGGCCTTTAAAACCCCATCTTAGGCTTTAAGCAATCCCAAATGGCTAGACACTCCATCCTAAATACTTGTACTAAAAAATAAATACCCCCTTGTTTTTTTTTTTTTTTGTACATTCTATTTTTACATTGTTCATTTGTCACAGATTTTACCATTAATATCTCTAATTACTACATATACGATGAATCAAACAATACCTCACATAGCTATCACATGATAAAAGAACTGTGAGATTCTAAAATCGAATGATAAAAAAAAAAAAAACCAAAGGAAGCAAAAACTTTCCTAAATAAAACTTTTCATACTTCATATTTATCTAAATTTATACAGCAGAAACCCATTAATATCACATGATAACCTTTTATTTTCTTGCATCCTAATTATCTACATTTATACAATAGAAATTAACAACCCCATACGAAATATTAACGACTTTTCTCAATTATATTACTCGTATTCGTTACACACTTAACACATAGTATCTAAATTTTTGGCTTTACTGTTATAATAATCTGGTGAATAAAAAAAAAAATTAACTTGTTTAATCAAGTGTAACGGACAAAGGCGAAGCTACATGGGGGGCGAGTGGAGGCCCAACCCCCATGGACCAATTTCGTGGCCTTTATTCTTAACTGCTGGCCCCTATAAGTTTTTTGAATAAATATTATCTCCGTTTCATATTATTTGCAATGATTTGACATAAAGTAGAGAGAAATAATGTCTAATCGTTGCAAATAATATGACACAGATGTTCTCTCTGTGTTTTTAATAAGTGTTATAATTTGACCAAACACGTCGAGGCACAAGTTTGACCATTAATTTATGTAATTATATATTAGTAAAATTATAGAAAAGTTGATATTATGTAAGTATATATTATAACGAATCTAACGATGTATTATACAATGTCATTTGATTTTTATATATTGGTAAATTAATCAAGTCAAAACCATTATGTGAATAGTGAAAACACTTATAAAAACACGGAGGGAATAGTAATATTTTTGTTATAACTTAAGTTGTATTTAACGATTGCCGTAGTGGTTTGAATTCCATTGTTTGGGGTTTTAATTAGATCATAGGAGTTTTCACATTAACTTTTTATTAAAGTTTTAGTCGGCCCCTATAGCATTAAAATCCCGGTTTCGCCATGGTTACGGAGTAATTATTGTACACGTTCTTGATATTACATTAAACTCAAATTAAATTTTCTCTCTCCTCATCTTCTCCGCTTGCTAACCTCAACAGCTGGTTCAATTCCTAGTTTTCTCATGATATTCATGAATCCATCTGAACATCTTCTCTAAAAGTAATAGAGAGGAAGCTGAATTTGCCATGGAAATAAAGAGAGAAGTTTTGCAAGAATCAAAAATAGATTTATTGTTGTATTTAGACGTGTCAAAAACTAACTTGAACCGACTAACTTAACCTGAAAGCGAACTAATCCAGAATTCAACCTTCACGGGCACAATGGTTCAACATGACTCAAACCTGAATTAAACTCAAACCCGAATTAGACCAAAATCCAACCTAGTCATCCGAATTGATACCTCTCTAGCGACTTTTATTAACTCTTGCTAACTTAAGAGTGTAAGACAAAGTATAAGGGTATTATTAAGAAATTTCGAAAATAATTACAACTAAATTAGCCCCGCAATTTAGTCTAACGGGAGTAATGGCCAAATTGACTCCATTAGTTTAGTTTTAATTGTGGCAAATTAACGCCGAAACTTTAAATGTAACCACTACAAACAACTAACACAGCTAACAAGTAGCTACTAGCTCCCAAAACTAATTGCTCGAAAACAATACACAAAACATAATTCAACTTTTTAGTGAAATATAATAAATTGAAATTGAGCTAAAAACAAATTGCAAAAAAACCAAAAGAATTGAGAGAAAAAGAAAACATACCAATGAGTTGGGTTAAACAATGAATTAACTTGGGCTTAAAGATGGGAATTACAGACTCACGGTCTAATCGAATAAATTCCTTCTTCTTCTTCATTTCTTCAAACACACAAGTCAATGAACCAAATTGTAGAGTAAACAAAACCCAAAACCACAATTATTAATTTGTATTTGGTTGAGAAATTAAATGAAAAAAAAAATTTAAAAAAATATATACAAGAGAGTGAGAGACGTGGAGTGATATTGAGTGATGGGAAATCGGGAATGAAACAAAGATGATAAAAAAAATCGATTTTGGCAGTTACGGTCGATTGTGGTCTCTTACAATATTCCAGAATTTTGCACATGGAAAATGAAGTCATTTATTTTGGCCCCACCTTCTTAATGTTTATCTTCCTACAATGATTTTTTAAAACTATTGTCTTTCATTAATGGAAAATTGTATACTAATAATCTCACATTTACCCCGTCTTCCATAAATAATTCCACCTTTTGAAATTTCAGAAACAATCCCACCTTTGACAGGGATCTTCCACTAATGATCCTTTTGACCTACAACCTGTTAAACCGGTTAATAATTTTTTTTCTTTGTCTTTCTCCTTGGACCACCAGTCCACCACCATTCCACCCATGCAGCTCCTTCACTCACCATACCAGCCTACTTGCTCACCACATTGACACCTCACCTAGCACCAACAACATGCTGCTGCCCTTCTCCCACTTCACCACCAGCGGCAACCGAAAGCAGCCGCGCTACTACTGCAGCCAACAACCATCGCACCATCCACGACTCACGCACCTTTCTCACAACAAATTCGCAACAGAAGCTCACAACAAGCAACCAGCTTCTGCAACAGCCGGTAAACCACCGCCTAACCCACCTCACAACGTCGCATCAGCGCGCCACCAATGCAGCCCACTTACAACCGTCGGACCTCCAATTCAATAGCTGCAACATCAATTCACACCCACAATTCAGCCCCTAAATTAGCCCCAAAAATAATTTAAAAGAAATATCAAGGGTCGATTTTGGGCTTTAAAGCCTGAAAACTCCATCCCCAGCCCCTAAAAACCCGACCCATCCCTGAAAACCCAAACCCTAGCTTCGAAAAACTCGACCCCAGCCACCTTCCTCAAGTTAGTGAAGGAGAAGAAGAAGATACGAAGAGATCATTGAGAAGTTGAGATTAAGTCGCACGCCTAGGTTGGGTTGCCGAGGAAGGGAGGCGGCTGCGACAGTGATATGGAGGGGCAAGGGTGGGGCTAGCCCCGATAACAATGGCGGGGGTTAGGGGTTTTGTTTTGTTTTTTTTTTTTAATTATTTTTATAATTATAAAAAATAGAATAAACCAACTAAAAGTCCACACGTGTCTCATAACCTAGTAAAACCGGTTACCAAAATAATTTAACCGGTTATGGATTGTTAGTGGAAGAACCCCGTCAAAGGTGGGATTGTTTCTGGAATTTCAAAAGGTGGGATTGTTTATGGAAGATGGAGTAAAGGTGGGATTATTAGTTTACATTTTTCCTTCATTAATTTATGGAAAAATTAAAAAATAACATCATATAATTTGAAATTTTTTTTACACAAAATTAAAAAAAAATCAGGTGTACAATAATTATTGTACATCCATTATAAAGATAGCATAAAATGATTAAAATTACTCCTGAAATTAATAAAAGTTACCCCAATATGCGTAAAAGTAACCCAATTCAAATAAAAATTATCTACGCTTTATTAGTAAAGAATCACATTTTAATTGACTAAAAATCAATTATTAGTGATTGAATGTAATTAAATTACCTCTATAAAACTTTTCTTGTTATCTATTTATATAAAAATTGTATTATGTTTAAAGTTACATACCCAAAGAAAGGCAAAAAGTTACCCTAAAATTAGCTAAAAGTTACCCTACTTATACTGCTCAATGTACACTAATATTAGTGTAAACCGGATGTATACAAAAGTTTTTGTTTTTTTTATTATAACATCTCCTTTTCTAAAAGTTTTATTATAACACCACATAAATAATTAAAATTTTGATATCATCACTAAATAACGGTTTCTACGACGGAAAAAGAGTGAGTCCCACAGTTTAGTTGACCCTCCAATTTTTTTTACCTTTTGAACTTGATTCTCCAAATTCAACCAATAAAAATTGAGATTGAACTGAAATCCTAAACTACATTTTGTGGTTAAGAAAGCGAATTGCAAGGAGAGGTGTCATTGTTTGAGCGAAACAACTTTGCGTGAAGTCGTCAGCCATTTTCATCAAAGGAAAAGCTTGGATATTTCTGGGTTACTGACAGCGACATAAAGAAGATTCCAAAAGAGGTACTAATTAACCCTTTTACAGTATTTTTTTTTTATTTCTGATGTCAAAATTGCAATTTTGGTGTTCATGTTAGGGTTAATTTGGGGGAAAATGTAGTGTGATTTACTGTGATTTAGGTTTAATTACGATATAATTGGCAAAATTGGCTTAGTTAATGGTTAAATGTTGTTAACTATTATGTCATTTTTTAATTAAAAAGTGTGAGTTTGTTGCATTGTTAAATGTAGTGTGATGTTTTCTGAATTGTTAATTTTCTTGCTACTTATGTTGGAATTAGTGCTTGCATTGTAACTGTTATTCCAATTGGTTATTGTGTAGATAATGGCACCATTGATGGCTTGATAGACATTTTTTTTAGTGTGGGGGGGGGGGGCTTTTGTCCAAAAAGAGTAAATAAAAAAGTAGTTTACTTTGCTACTGTGGTGGGTTATGTTATTGGAGGAGGGGGGTTAAAGTACCTAAGCTTGATGTGACTTATATTAGGGAGGCTGCTATACATACATGGATTTGTTAAGTATAATGTGGATGTCTCTACCTAATATAGGTATTGGTATAGGGAAAAAGGAAAACATTTAACATTAGTAAAAGAGAAATAGTGAATGAAGATGAAACTAGGGGGCTTTTAGAGACTGTAAATAGGCAAGGGTATGTAGAAGTGTTTGTTAGTGACAATGAAACAGACCATCAGGTTGGTAATAGGCCCATTACTCTTGAGGCCCAACACACCCCACAAAAGAATGCTTCAAGGAAGGTTAACATAGCAGATAAGAGTGTTTTTGTTAGGAGAAGTCCTAGGCTACATAAAACAGAAAAACAAGACAGTGAAAGGGGTGTTTCTTCACCTAAACCTAGATCTAGTTTGCCTATCTAGAAAAATTAGGGAAAGGGGAAACTTTAAAGTGCAAGGGTGTATGAGGTTTTTGGCAGTGGGAAGGACAAGGGGAAGGGAAAACAGAAAGCAGTTGCAAAGAGGTTGGTGTTTGAGGACGACAATGATGATGATAGATCTGGGATTGAGACAAGTTCTCTAAGTGACGATCAAAGTGAAAGTGACATAAACTGAGCACCAGGGGAAGAGGAGTATGATGGTGGTGATGACCAGTGGTTTGTACAAGATTCAGCTGAGATACTCGAGGAGGTTAATAGGAAACTAAGAAAAGGTTTAAGTAAAGAAGGTGAACCAGGTGTGGTGAAGGAGAAGAGTTCAAAACTTAGAGGGAACTTAGATATAACTAAGGTGCAGCTTTAGGAAGAAATAGAAGGGGATTTTGATGAGCTAAGAAGCTTGAATGGTTCTTCTGATGAAGAAGACAATAACCCTTGGTTTAATGAGAAGGTTGATTTTGATAATCCTACTGAGCTTGTACTAAAGCTGCAGTTTAAGAATGCCTTGGTGCTGAGGAAAGCTTTAAGGCTTCATGCTATTCAAAACAGGTATGAATATTATTTCCTACACAATGACAACAATAGGATTACTATTCAATGTAGGCATAGATGGGCTTGTGAGTTTAGTACAAAGACCAGCAGAATGCCTCAATGTATGTGTGTAGGTGGAGTGAAGTGTAATTTTAAGGTGTATGCTAGGAAGTTGGTTAGACAAGAGAGTTGGCAAATTAGAAGTTTGAGGGTTCAGCATAACTGTATGAGGTCAAAGGGGATTACAAAGGTTATTGCAGAATTCATTGTAGAAAGATATCTTGAGGATTTCAAGAGCAATCTTGGGTGGAAGGTGAAACAGATAAGGGACAGAGTGATCAATGACTTGGGTATACAAGTGACTTATTTCATAGCATGGATTGCAAGGTGCAGAGTAAAAATAATCAATTATGGGTCAGCTACTCAATAATAAGTCGGGGTCTGGGATTATGGCAAGGATATGATCAAGTATAATCCTAGATTAGGTTGCAATATAGTTTTAGATGGAATTTGCAATCCTAAGCCACCTCTCTTTTTGAGGATTTTTATATTCCAAGGCCATTGAAGGATGGATTTCTAAGGGGTTATAGGCCTTTAATTGGGTTGGATGGGTGCCACCTCAAAGGTCCATACCCAGGGAAAATATTAGTGGCATTGTCTAAGGATGGGAACAATGCAATATACCTCTTAGCTTGGACAACAGTAGAAGTTGAGAACAAATTAACATTGACTTGGTTCTTGGAGTCTTTGATGGGAACTATAAGAAGTGATGATGGAGATGGTTACACCTTCATGTCAGCCAGACAGAAGTTATGTTTGTAATTCAATGTAATTCAATACTTGTTACTCTCATTGAAAGTGTTCTGGTTACAAGCAATAGTCCCTACAACAGAGACCAGGTTTTGTGTTAGACACATCTGGCCCAATTTCAAGCTCAAGTTCACTGGTGGTGCTTACAAGGAATTGTTTTGGACTGCTGCTAGGGCAACCACACAAGTAAGTGTAGACACCCATTTGTGTCTCCCCAAAACCAAACCCAGTGATGAGTACCTTTCGTGTCGAATCATGATCGAATGAAGAGAAAGTGTGGAAAGTTTAATGTTGCGGATAGTTTTAATTTCTTTTCTCATCTCTTTGTTTTTGAAAACTTATTTTAAGAAAACAGACAATCCAGTTTTGTTAGTCCATGATATGGGTCCAATAGTAGTGTAGTTGGATGGGGCTTGACAAGAGCTTTCCAACGATATATTATAAGCCCAATTCCGATGAATATTGAGGAAGTTATGGCCAATTTACCAAACTGGGCTCGGTTTGAGCTTTAAATGCGGCCCAATGATCTAGGGGAGGGCCTAATATGATTTATCATTCCTAATGCAATTAGGAATGGTTTTAGTCTTCTAGATTCTTCTTGAAATTCTTTTCATTTCTAATTTAATTAGCATTGATAAATTGACTTTTGTTGACTTTTCAGAGTTTTAATTAAAATCAAAGAGTATTTTTTGAGGAAAGATACGATTTTATCCTCCTGTATGGCAAAATTTATCTGATTTTAGAAAACGTGTCAAAAAAAGATTGGCGTCACATGCCAGGCATTGGCGCCTGACCAA